TTTATTATAAATAGCTTATTTAACTACTTTTTTAATATATTTAAATTAATCAACTAAGTCTTACATTAAAGACGGGAGGGAGTATTTTAGGGGAAAAAGAGTGATTAGTCAACCATCGTTGGCCGCTAGTGCAACCTCCAGCTGGCGAACGTTGAGCAGTGAGTTCAAGAATATTTATCTCATTTTACATAATAAATTATTGTAATACTACCTCCGATCCTTAATATAAGAGTTAGTTAAATAATTTGATTGGATTAAAAAATTAGTTAAATTAGTTATTTATAATAAATAAGTGTTATCTTTCTTAAAATATCCCTATTAATAAAGTATATTGATTATAATTACTATTATTATAAGGATTGTTTTAGAAAAAAATAGATAAATATGAGAGACAAATTAGGGTGAGGTTTTATATTTAGGACCAAAATAAAAGTCAGGCGAGTTTTTATATAGACTGAAGGTAGTAATATTTTATGAGGCTTTTGGATATTTTCACAAATTGGAGGGATTTATTTATAAATAATTTTTTATCTGGTATGTATGTAATCTCTTTAAAATTAATCAATCACCATCATTAATTTATTGAACTCAAATTCCTTGTGGTATTCCTGTCTTGCTTACACGATTCTATCGTAAATGGAGAAAGATTGTGCTTCATTTATTCAAAGTTTGAGCATGAGAGCTCCACCAGAGATTATGGGTCAGGTCAGAGGAGGTCATGATATGCAGTCACGATCAAATGATCAGTCAAATATAAATAATTATTCTGTAATAGATATAATTAAGAGAAAATTGCAACAAAAAAAACCCTTGAAAATTAAAAAACGAAAAACACGAACCCATTTATAAAAATTGTTATTATTTGCTCATTGACTGTTGTTAAAACCAATAATAATATTGTAATGGGTCTCAATTTACAATTTTTCAATTTTTAATATTTTTTATGATTTTTTCTATAGACAAATTAATCATGGCCTTCAGTGTCATTGATTATGCCCAAACAACGAGAGGACCAGCGTAATGACACGCTTACTTGTTATCATTTTACTTATGTAAACAAATATAAACAGATTAATCACTATTAATTTGTTGAAAAAAGGAAATATAAAAATTATTTTTCTGTGAGACACTATCAAGTACATTTTAATTATATCGAGATGGAGGTGAGTGGGGGTATAATAAATCACCTCTGTGTATTATTATAATCAGGTTACGGGTATTATTTGCCGGTGAAAATTTCCAAGCTGCCGGTTGAATCAAGATGATGGAACCCAACTTATTTCTGAAAACCAATACACATTCAAGGATAATGCCAATATGAAAATAAAAATAAAAATAAACAATTGTCCATGAGCTTCTAGTTTAGAGGCACTGATGTTTCCTTATTAATGGGAAGTTGCATATTCGATTACGCATGCAATCCTGTTCTGATAGCTCTAGACTACTAAACCCTCAGAATCAAGAAATAAATGAATTGAACTTTATTTGGAGTCCCTCTATGGTTTATTATCTCCGATTCTTAATATAAGACTTTATTTAATTTTTATTCTGATCTTAAATATAAAACCCAAATCTATTTTGTTTCTCATATTTATCTTTTTTTTCCTAAGGTAATCCTTGTAATAATAATAGTTCTAACCGATATACTTGATTAGCAATGATATTTTAGAAAAGACAACATCTATTTATTATAAATAATTAACTTTACCAGTTTCCTTAATCTAACTCAAATTAGTCAACTAGCTCTTATATTAAAAAACGGAGATAATATATATTTTCAATTTGTTCCCCAGTTCATCAACAGCTGGATCTGTCACTATTTCACAGTGGAATCAGCATGAAAATAATCAAATAAAGATACCCAGATTAGAAGCAACATCCACAACAGACATTATCCACGATTTTCAGTGAAGAGTTCAAACGGTTTCTCCGTTCTTAAAGCAGAGCTGACATTTGGCATTTGAGTAGGCTGGGATTCGAGGATCCTGCAATAAATGGTCCGTTTGAATCAATTATTAGAAAAATAACTTATTATCAATTTAGCTTATAAAAAAGTGAAGCTGGATAAAAATTAAATTAGACATGCTGAATTGTGTTTTGATTGGAATTCAGAAAAGTTAGTTTGCAAAAATGAGATTGACAAAAAGTTGTTTGAATTATGATTGGGTAAAAATAAGTTTAGTTGTAAAATGACCAAAATGGATATGCGTTTTAATAAATAATAAAACATAATTAAAAAAATAATTTCACATAATATAATAAAATTAAAATAATTTAATATGAAGAAGTCAAATTTAATGAGTAAATCAAATTTTAAAACTTTAGAGAAAGCATAAAAAATATTTTAAATATAAAGTAAAATATGAAAAAAAAAGTATATTTCTATGAGCATCTTTAAAAACAAAAGTATATTTCTAATTTATTTATTACTTTTAACTAATTTTAACTGATTTTTTGTTATCTATAAATTAGTTATTTGAGACTTATAATGAGAACTATAAATTTCTTAACTTTTTCTCTCTCCGTGTTTTAAAAGTTATAAGTCATAAGTTGTTACTTTTAACTTATAGTTCATTGTAACTTTTCATATAAAAGTCAGATTGTCCAGTCATCCATCCAAACATCATCTGAATTTCCAATCGAGTTTCTATCCAATTTAAACTAGTTTTCATCCCTGAAAGCTCAACCAAACAGGCACAAAGTCAAAATCTTAAGCGACTACAAAGCTCATAAGATCAGGGGAAGCAGACAGGAACCTTTGGGTCCGTGACATAAGTGAAACATTGTCTATACAATATACATGAAAGGGGTTGTATCTGGAGAGACTGTGGCTGATGCCGTCATTGGCGCCACCCGATGCGGCCAATGAAACCAGGAAGCAAACAAGATTCAATAGTTGTAGCGCACATCACTTCTTCTTCTCCCCCCCCCAAAGCATAAGTATTTTTATTTATTAGAGGCAATCCTATTCAAGACATTGTCAGGCAATAAATGTGGGAACATCTTCCAGTAGGGATTCAAACTTTGGTTCATCATGTTATGAGCGCACACCACTTCTGTAAGAGCATCTTTATGTCTCTCTGGGTGATGCGCATTTGTATTGGGAAAAAGTGAAAAACAGCACGAGAGGCCACAGCCCAAAAGCTCCCAGCAGGATGCAAGAAACTCAATGAAGACAGGCATTGCCATGGTCGAAGTGGTGGCTATATTATCACAAACACTAAGGGTGTTTAAGGCCGGCCTGTTCCAGTCTCAACGTTATTGGGACTGGACGGGCCCGTCTCGACATTTTTTGGGACAGGACAAAAAAAAGGACCTGGACGGGACGAGGTCATCCCGTCCTGGTCCCTTTTAATTTTTATCATATTTATATAATATTATTTTTTATATTTTTTTTAAGATTTAAGACTATTGTATGGAACCATGGATATATTTATTTAGAGCTTTTATATTTGTTGATGATTTGAGACTATTGATGATTAGAATTTTTAGTAAGTTTTTATCGTGTTAGAAACTTTTGTTTAGAATTTTTAATAACTATTATATATAATACTCTTAGCTTTTGTTTAAGGGTGACCAAACAAATAAAAAAGAAAATAAAAAAATGTTTTTACAAAGCATAAACCCAAAAAACTATAATTTAAAAGAATAAGATTTTATTAAAAAATAACAAAATTTAAAAAAAAAATATTGAGACGTCCCGATCCCATCCCGGATTCGTCCCCTCCTGATCGAGACCGAAACAGAACACGGGATAGAAAGTCTGTCTCGTTACTGTTCATCAGGACAGAACCGGGACAAGCTTGTCCCGATTATGATCCGTCCCGTGAACAGTCCTAACAAGCACTATCCTCCAGACTAGGCTAAACATGTTCAAACTAATATTTGAACCACTAACTGCCACTGAATATTGATTTCTCTCATCCAAGTGGTGGGGTGGCAAACCCAGCATATTATGGTCTCATCGAAAACGAGGATAGTGAAAAAGATGACCCTGGGAAAATTTGTCGCCACTTTGACATTATACCAGGCAAGGGGAGGGATTTGCATTCCATTACTATGAAGTTCTCATTGGTTCGACTTTCGAGAAACGATCGGGAAAACTTATATCGAAAATTTTATTAATAAAAAAAAATCTAAATTAAAGTATCGGATATGTTATGTCTAAAACTTGCAAAATGTCTATACTTTTCACGTATAAAGATTTATCAACTCATTTTTACTAATGCATGTTGACTGACGGACTTTTTTGACTGATTAGTCCCTATTGTCAATAGACAGAGGTTGGGCAAAAAAAATTATAGAGGTGAAAAAAAAACCTAGGTTAGCCTGACCCAGCCCGTATGGGTTGGCCTGTACAGGGTCCACCGATACAGGCTTAGGCCCATATAACAGTTTGCTTATATCAGGCGTTGGTGCTAGAGCTCAGCCTTTTACACATGGGCTTACATTTCAGTTTATAAACCTGTATACTTTTTTCCCTTTCATTTTTCAAATAAAAATTATTAACCATAGACAAAGAAAACACAAATTATGATATTAAAAGTTTTAAAGTATTCAAAAGTGCGAATTTCAAATATAAACTGCAACACACAAAAATACAAATAAATAAAATAATCACAATTTCTTAATCTTTAATATATGGAGTGACTCTGAGTTAGAATAATTAGAATTCTCATAACAAATTGTTTTGTTATACACCTAGCATTCTCATGACGTTTTTTACTTGAAAATTATTCACAAGCATTTTCAACGTTTAGATTCCATCCATTTAGAAAATGATCATTTCCACTTTAGCTAAGAAGCCTAGACAACTGCAATATCCAATCTCATACGTTTAAGTTTTAACATTTTTAATATTCAGAACGTGTATGCCAAAATTGCATGTCTGACTCTGGTAAAAAAAAAAAAAAAAGAATTGCATGTCTGACTTCATCAATGCTATGCCAGTCCCCCTCGTTCTCCAGTGTAAATGAGGCAGCAACGGCGTCGTTTCAGGCAGCAGAAACAGGAGAGGCTGGGCATGGGGGAGGCAGCGGAGAGAAGCCCAACGCTATATTGCTTTTTTGCATTTCCATTTCTTACTGATCCCTAAAATGGCGGCTTCACTTCAGTTCAACTTGAAGGCTTTCAGGTCATCTCCTCAAGACTTTCGCTTGTCATCCAGTAAATCATTCAAGTCTGGCCTTGTCAGGTGTTCGGCAGCCTCCCATACTTCCAAACGCAGTTACTCTATCACTTTACTTCCTGGTGATGGCATTGGCCCTGAGGTCACCACTGTTGCCAAGAATGTGCTGGATGTCGCTGGCTCGCTTGAAGGTCTGTTTGAATCCCAAACAGGGTCGCCTGCTTTGTGGCGAGCGTAGAAAATCACTGTTTTTTTAATCTTGTTTATTCTCCTAATTTTATTTTCGTTGATTTGTGTTGCGTAATTTAGTTTCCCTGTAATTCTTGTATTTTGGATTTGATGATCTTCCACTGGTTATGTTGATAATCGACGGCATTTTAAATTTTGTTGGATGGGGTTGGTGCAAAGGCTCTCTGTTTCTCTCTGGAAATAATCGTTTTGCACAGTGGACTGGCTACTTTCTTGTTTTTGTCCCATGTAGAATTCATGCTATAAGGTAATGCATTACAAGATGAAAATTGGATCAGATACAGGAAATTAACAATTTTGTAATTTCTGCACGCCCAAGCATTAGTGAGTACAGTGCCTCTGTATATACTTTAAGCTCCTATCTTATGCACTATTCTGTTCCTTTCTTAAACCAGGAATTAATTTTAATTTTCGCGAGATGCTTCTGGGTGGAGCTGCATTGGATGAGACAGGTGTACCATTACCAGATGAGACACTGTCTGTAGCAAAGCAATCTGACGCTATTCTGCTTGGTGCAATTGGAGGGTAGCTATTCCTTTCACATTCTTGTGTTTGAAATAACTTTTATCCTCTAATTCTTCTCTCTACCAAACATCATGTGTCCTTTCATTTATTACTTAAAGGTATAAATGGGATAACAATGAAAAGCGTCTAAAGCCAGAGACTGGGTTGCTTCAGCTTCGGGAAGGTCTTAAAGTATTTGCCAATTTGAGACCAGCTATTGTATTCCCACAGGTAAACCTAATGCTGGCTTATGAAATTTGAAACACAGGGATATGCTTCCCGTTTATCTCATACCCTGATATCATATAAACTGGCACTTAAACAGAAGCCGAGTCCAGCCTTTCCTTTTGCTATCAAATACATCTATCAATTTTGTTAAGAACATTAGAAGGTCCATGTAACAAAAACTTCCTCTCTGTATGCAATTATTTCACTTGATAATCTTTGAAATTCTGTGGTTGGGCTAGGTTACTGGATGAGTTTAAGCATAGTATTTGGTGAAATAACAGCATCATTTTGTGCAACAATTATCAAATCATCCAATATTATAATATCATAGAGCATGGCTTCATGTCTTGTATATCAGACACTAAATGATATCCCCTACCTTGTATCTACGATTCTGTACTAGTTTTTTAGTTGGCTTTAGCATTCTATAATGCTATTAACTTTTTGTGAGTTTCCCTATAGTTAATGGATGCCTCAACTTTGAAGAGAGAGATTGTTGAAGGGGTTGACCTCATGGTTGTAAGGGAACTCACTGGAGGTCTGTCAAGGTTTCATTTTGACTTTGTACAGTGGATTTAATTTTCTTTTATGATCTTTGAAATAATAATTTTCAACTTTTTAAGCAGCTTTTAAATTTAATTTTTTTAATTCTTCATCCTTTTCCTTTTTACCTAAACTTAAAATTTTGTGGCCAAATCACACATAACTAAGTTTGTTGCTGCTTCGTTGAATTAGGTATTTACTTTGGAAAGCCCAGGGGCTTTCGTACTGATGAAAGTGGTGAAGAGGCTGGTTTCAATACTGAGATTTATACTGCACATGAGGTATCTTGCCAGTCCCAGTTGGTTCTCTAGATCAAGCATCTGTGATATCATGGTGTTATCATTTTTTCATGCTATTGCTACTTAACATGCACTCCGGTGAAAAGTTATTTTAATAATTTATTTCATCTTGTCTGCCTATTTATTTGCTTCTACAATTTGATAACCTATGACTAATTTGAATTTGAAATCTCTTTAAAGAAAATTTTGGCGCCATAATTTAATTTAGCTTGATGAAAGATGTTGCGTTGTTTATCCTTCTTTTATTGCTAAATTCCAGTTTCTCCAAAACATTTTGATATTATGTTAATCCCTAGATTCAAAAGTGTATTTAAAAATTTGATTACACATGAAAGTATGTTCTTTTTTTTTTAAAATAAATTTGCTTGTGAAATAGAATTCATTTGAAGGATTTAAGTTGTTACTGCACTCAAGATCTAAATTGATGACAAATTAAAGAAATCTGGCTAGTTTTTCTAGTAAATTAAAAATCTTCAAATTTTGCTAGAAGATGGTAGTAGCAATGCAATTTCCATCACGTGCTTTGTGTCATGGACTTTCTCTTTTGTCTCTTGGAAGAATAAATATGTTACTTTCGGAAAACTGGCTTTTTCTAAAAGAAAGTATATGGGAGTATATAAGCTGTGGCATTCACATTTCTATTTTCGCTCCAAAAAGAACTTCTATTTTTCTCAGATCTCCTGACACTTTCCTGCCCCTACACTGAGTGTCAATATAATCCCTGAAACCATGATTATTTGTTTTTGACGTATGTTAATTCTTACACCAGATTGATCGCATCACACGATTTGCATTTGAGATTGCTCGGAAGCGGCGTGGGAAACTTTGCTCTGTTGACAAAGCCAATGTGTTAGAGGTAGTTATTGCTGGATACAATTAAGATATTTATTCATAAATTGGGATTTGACTATAGAACTGTTTGAATCATCACTTTGAGTTTTTGGCTAATCTGTGGCTGTGAGGTTGTGTGATATACTGAAAATTTTTGTGCTTATGTACATTTGTTTTATTATATACTGAAAATGATACACATGTATGTGATAAATTTAGGTCCTCCTCCAACATATGTTAATGTGCTTGGTCTGTCTATTATTTTTAGGCATCAATGTTTTGGAGGAGAAGAGTTCTCGCAATAGCACAAGAATATCCCGATATCGAGTTATCACACATGTATGTTGATAATGCCTCAATGCAATTGGTTCGCTATCCCAAACAGGTCTGCTTTTGGAGTATATTAGCATAATCTGTGTTTCATTTGTACATTAAATGTAACTCACAGATGGAAAATTCTTTGAATGAAAAACATTGCAAGCGTTACCGTGTTTGATGCTGAATTTTGCAGTTTGACACAATTGTGACAAACAACATATTTGGGGATATATTATCAGATGAGGCTGCAATGATCACTGGAAGTATTGGGATGCTTCCTTCTGCAAGTCTTGGGGATTCGGTATGGGGACAGAAAAAAAAGAAAGTTATTTTACTGTAGATCATGAGTGTGTTTAAGGTTAGTGACTTTTCAGTTGACCATATTGGGTTTGAATTGGTTTAGGGACCTGGGCTTTTTGAACCTATACATGGTTCTGCTCCTGACATTGCCGGACAGGTTAGTTTTTTATACTTTCCATTTATTGGTTGTTTATCTTTGGGCAGCATCCATTACAACGGCATAATTATCTTTATACAGGACAAAGCAAATCCATTCGCCACTGTACTTAGCGCTGCTATGCTTTTGAAGTATGGTCTTGGAGAAGATAAGGCTGCTGAGAGGATAGAAAATGCAGTTTCGGACACCTTGAACAGGGGATTTCGAACTGCTGACATTTATTCTGAAGGAACGGTAAGCGTGTTGTTCGGTCCCTTGGCTTTTATGTCAAGTTCTTTCATTGCACTGGAGCGGACTAGGAAGCCTAATGCCTACTATATGTTATCACTTCTTGTCCATGATGTCTTTGATATGTCTACGCGTCTTTATATGAGCTTTTGTCTAGGTGATCTTGTAATTCTTGTCTTTCTGCCCAATGAATTCGCACTGTGTAATGCTCATTGTCTCTTCATGCAGAAACTAGTAGGATGCAAACAGATAGGTGAAGAGATTATGAAGTCAGTTGAATCCCAGGTTCCTGCTACTGCATAAATCAGACGTAGACATCCACGAAAATTGGGTGCTGGGGTTGGCCCGAGGATCTCGTCTGCGAGACTATGATTATCAATGCTTTCCTTAATGCTAAGTAGAAAGAATTGTCCCGTACCGAAGAGAATTTCAGGTTCCTTTTGGTGAGGTTAGAAAATGTTATTCAAGTGAAAAAATGGAGCATTTGAAATGTAGTTTGTTATCCACGGTCATTCTGTCAGGAAACACGTGCACGATGAAAACCCACTTTGAGACGATATTGGGGATTTCGGAGCCATAACTGCAAATTTTGTTTCTGCTTTGACTTTTGACAGACAAGTGGCGATTTGCACTCCACTAGTAAAAGGCATATAGGAGTCCACTTGAGTGGGAAATATATGATGATAAAGTAGTTCCTAATGATTATAGCGTTCTTGGTGTTGAAGCAAGTGTGTTTTTTCTTTTTTTGGGGTCAAGTGTTGAAGCAAGTGATTAAGATATCTTACGCCGACAAACGTACTCTTAGAATCGCCACCCTTGATCTCCATTCTTCAACAAGCACCCATGATTTTGGTTTGTATTTTTATACATGGTCATTATATAACCAACAGTTAGTCAATGATGATCAACTAGAAATGTTTAGCAGAGTAATTATGTAATAAATTATATATTTTTATGATGGAGCAAACATGTAAATATAATCGGTGTTGGGCACAATCAGCAACTGTGCCCAAACCAAAGTGTAAACCGACATCGGAATTCTGGGAAAAAAAACAGAAGAGCCCAAATGGGAACTCTGGAGATTTGGACGTGCCATCCCACAACACGAGCTTAAATCCGGCAACCAGAAACAATTCCTGACTGGCCATCTGTCTGTAGTATATTAGGCCGACAACAAAAGGGGAAAAGCCCAACTCGAGATTTTAGATGAAAAGTTCAGCCCATCATTTTGATGTGGTTTTGTAAGGGGGAAAAAAAAAGATTAACATAAATTTTGGTCCCTCAAATTTGGACCCATTTTGGTATTGATTCCTTAAATTTAAAACCTATGGTATTGATTCCTCAAATTGTATCCATTTCTGGCCATTGGTCCCTGGTAGTTTAGGCCATCAAAACCATCTGAGTTGACACTAACTCTTTTAACCTATGATGTGGCATCTAACTTAAGAGAATGAGGTGGATAATAGTTTGATAATGTGGCTTGCTGACATGTATATATAAACAATGCGAGAAAAAAAAGAAAAGAACTGACTTGAAAGAAAACACATGGACAGAGCATTTAAAAAGACCAAGAACACGAGAAAAGAAAGGCAAAAAAGGGTTAGGTCAATAGTGAAGCGGACCTACACTTATTGGAGAACTATGATGTGTCCATCACTGGAGGAATGTGATTTGTCGACAGCAGTCGAGGGAAGAAACGATAACAGTAATTTTGGTGAGTTTTACTAGTTGAAAGGTGAGAATCTATCGCATATGTTAATGCGTTCTAGTAGTAACTCGTGCAATGTGAGAAAACAAAGGTCGATTTTCACCGAGTTATGCTTGTTAAAGCCGTGATGGTGTTTCAGTGAGCTCTGCATGTTTGTTTTTGTTAAGTTTTGTTCGATTGTTGTACATTTGAGAGGTGTGGTGCATTTGATCTTTATCCATTAAGTTGTTCAATGTTGCCGTTCTTGCGTGCTGTGTGTTCAAGTATGCTCTGTTCTCATTTCTTGAATGGGAAGACATCAGTATGATGATTAGATGAATTTTTATTTCATTTGGTTGTATTTTGGAGCATTAACCCATTGCTTTGAGCTTTTGATTGTGTTATTGTGGACCAATATGGATGGGTTTTTTGCTTTGTTGACAATGTATGCTTTGGTTCATGTGTTCTGTTTTAGATTATTATTTTGCTCTACAGGTTAAATATGGATGGGGAGGAAAAGAAAAGTGAGAGTTGTGAAAGTAGTGGAGAGGGAGGGAGTAAAACGAACTCAGGATCTGATTTCTTAGACCTTGAGAATAGTGAAGAGGACTAGGTATCGAATATATATATTCAAAAAGACCAAAGACCAGTTCTTAAATATGTATTCGAAAAGACTAGTTCTCGAGTGTATATTGAAGAAAAACAGTTTAGAGAAAGACAATTTTAATGGAGAGATGTTGAAGATAAGTAGAAGATGGGATAGGAGAGATGTTGTAAAAAATTAAAAACTTATACCAACAACTTACCAAATACCAATTGCCCTTCCTTACAATTGCTGGATCTTCGTTGCCTTCGTCCGATCTTTCTCCTCAATCACCTTATCTATGGGTGTCGGATCTTTCTTGTCGTCACTGATGACCTTCCCTTCAATCTTAAGGCTCTGTTTGGTACGTAGTACTGAAGGGGTTGGCATTGGTATTGGTATTGGGATTGCTCATTTTGTGATGTTTGGTATGAAGACCTCAGTAATCCCAGGACTTCTGGGTACCACCTTCAATGGGATTGCCCAGTACCACCCCACCCCTAGTACTGGAAAATCAATCATGGGATTGAACTTTTTGGGACCAAATTATCCCTCACCCATCCCTGTCTCTCAATTATCCCTATGTCTTCTCAATCTCCCTCCTTCTCTTCTCCCCCCCAACTGTGAACCCACCGTTAATTTCGACCTCCATTGCTAGCTTCGTCTTCCACTGCTAGCAAAGGTCGATGTCAGGATATTACAAACAACTAATATCATGAAGTATTTAGAATTCATTGATGTTAATGATTATGAGAGTACCTACTCTAAATCTATCCATTATCGATGGCGACTAACTTTTTCCTCTACCTCTAACTTCGTCACAACCATCCTATAGACAATGGTGGCCACCTTCGTCATCCATTGTCGACCGAGACCAGCTTCTTTGATGAAGGTGATTTTTTGAGCAAATTTGGATCTTGGTTTTATGCATATAAATCGAGATCTAGTACAATTAATTTTTTGAAGATAGATTTTGATCTTTGACAGCGACCGCCTTCGTCCTCCATTGTTGACAGTCACCAGCTTCTTTGACAAAGGTGATTTTCTAAACAAATCTAAATCTTGGTTTTTTGCACCTAAATCTAGTACAATAGGACTTTTGAAGACAAATTTGGATTTTGGAGTTTATGTTAGATCTAAAGCTTGTTTCAGATTAAAGTGAAGAAGAAGAAGAAGAAAGGTGTGAGGAAGGGAGAGGATGATGGAGTTTTTTTTATAGGTATTTTAGGCACTTTGTATTTTTTATTTTGTTTTTTTTCTTTTTCTAATTCATTGATCCCATAAGCAATCCCATGACACACCAAATGTCATTTTATAATCTAATCCCAATCTCAACCCTAATACTAATCCCAATACCAATCCTATTCCCATTTTCTCAAAATCTAGTGCAGCGTACCAAACCTAAATCTCTAACCCCTTCCCTCTTTCTTTCTCAACTGCTAGTGCGTCAATTTCTTCAGGTAACTTGTCTCCCTTGCATCTGTGCTACTTATTTCTCTTGCATCAGCACTAAGTTTTAAAACATCCATTTATCTATTTTTTTTTCCTTTTTCCATATAAGATCTACATACATGTCAGCTTTTATGTACACATTATCAATATAACAAAGTTAGTGCCAACCCACACCATTTTGACGGCTTAAAGTTACCAGGGACTAACAGCAAAAAACGAATACAATTTGAGGGATCAATACGATGGGTTTTAAATTTCAGAGAGTAATACTAAAATGGGTCCAAATTTAAAGAATCAAATTTATATTAACTCAAAAAAAAAAAAACATAAAGCCCTAGAGGGCAAATGAGCAATCCAAGTTTCTAGCGTTTTTCGGTCTGCTGGCCACATCAGCCGTGCGTCCGCGTCACTGCGTCTGGAAAGCGGTGGGGGCTGGAAACGAGAAAACGAACAGTCCAAAAACGGAGAGAGAGAGACAGGGAGGAAATTGAGCAGAGGGAAGGTCTGGCCAAACGGTAAGGAGAAAGTTTGTGTGGTTTCATCCACGTCATGATTAAGAGCGTGCCAAGTAATTAAAAAGAACATCCATTAGTTCGTTACTACAGTTTCATTTCATTTCTTCATCAACCTGCTTTAGACGAAACCCTAGGAGTAATGGATGACGACAGAATACGCGAGAGGGAGAGGCATCAGATCGAGCAGATTCGCCAGCTCGATCACGACGAATTGCGGGTTGAGGAAGTTGATGACCTAGAAGACGATAGAATGCAGGTGGTAATGGGTGACGAGAGAATACTCGAGAGGGAGAGGCTTCAGATCGAGCAAATTCGCCAGCTCGACCTGGAAGAGTTGCAGGTTGAGGAAGTCGATGACCTCCGAGACTCATCCGACGAGGACGCCAAGTAATTAACCGTTCTCCGTCATCCCTACTATTCTTAATCTGCCATTGGTTTCTTTGATTTTTCTGTATGTGCTTTTCGTGAGCAATTTTATTTTATTATGTAAATTGCTGATGATCTTATGATCATCTTGTTTGGACCCCCAGCGGCCGTACTGACCGTGCTAGGCCTGCCTCATCCGATGATTTCACCTTCGATACGTGTATAACGTCTTTGCACACATATCTGGGTGGTAGGCGTTCATTTGTTGGCAATACTCGCCCCTTTCTTTGACACAGCTATTGTTCCATATTGCTCAGTCATACTTCCATGTCGCAGAGGTTGAGGACACGCACCACAGGACTGCCTTCTTGGACGGTGGGGCTCGTTTAAGCCTCCCACTTTTCTATCTTGAAGGTATTCACATCTGTGCATCATGCCATGCATTCTGTTTATAATTTCTTAGTTACGCGAATAGCTTAAGATTAGTTTCTGCAACATTCAGGAGTTGTACTCTTTCCTGGGGCTACTCTTCCCCTGAGAGTTATTCAACCCAATTTTGTTGCCGCTGTTGAACGAGCACTGAGCCAAGTTGATGTTCCTTACACTATTGGTGTGGTAGGTGAACTTATCACGAGTGCTTAAAAAGTATGTCAATGCTAGGGATTTGCGGGTGGTTTTTCTTATGAAGCTCATGTGTGTGCTTCTTCCAGATTAGAGTTCATAGGGATGCTGAAAATCGTAGGACAAAATTGGCAAGAATTGGAACAACTGCAGAGGTATGATTTGCGTTGCTATTTGTTTGAGTACATGCATAGTCTATTAAGTATCATGTGCTACTCTGTTTGCTCCAGTTATAAATTCAATGCATGGTATCCACCCTGATGTAGGGGTCAAGTGCGTAACAGACATGATAAAGAGATGAGCAACTCCTTTTGCTTCTGAAAACTTTTCTGGTGCAACGTAGATGGTGTATTGTGAGATCCAAATTAATTGTTCACTGCATTTTGTTCCTTGATAAAAAAAGAAATATGTATGTGCTAGTTAGAATTTGCGCAGCATATTCTAATATCAAATAAACTGTATTTTGGCTTATATTATTTGCTAAATGCTTACAGATTCGACAATACAGGCGGCTAGAGGATGGTTCCCTTAATGTGGTTACCCGTGGACAACAACGGTTTCAACTGAAACGCCATTGGTTTGATGTGGAAGGAGTGGTTAGTACATTATTGTGTTTGTTGCTGCTTCTTTTCAATATTCTCAGCAATCGCCATGTAAGCAAAAGCTGATCTTGATGTTCTTCTCTTGGTGAATTGTTGTGATATTTTGTAGCCTTGCGGAGATATTCAAATAATAGAGGAAGATCTACCATCAAGAACTCCCAAGGATGCTTTTGTAAAATTAGCTCCTTTAAGTAATCTGCCTCATAACCGTGGTGTCTCACGTATGGCTTCAAATTTTTCTTGCGCTAAATTGCATGGTTCCAAAAATGAGGATGATGATTCAGATGACAGCTTCGAGAGCTTTGAGGAGGAACTTTCACCAACAGAAAGGAGAATCCACCAATCTATCACTGGTTCTGGTCATGGGCATGATATCATGGATGAATCATCTAACAGTGATTATGAAGAATGTATACATGAGTCTGATCGTGAAATTAGATTTAGCCTAAATGACTCTGACATGACGAGGTCATTGCTCTCTGAGCGTGGAAAACAAACTGTAAATACAGACTTGACTGGGGGCAGCTGTTCCACTTCAGGTTTAGGCAAGCAACCCTGCAAAAAGGCATCGTGTAAAAGTACAAGTGCCAACTTCTCTCATGGAATTCCAAGGGCATTCTGGCCCCATTGGGTATACCGAATGTTTGACTCCTATTGCCTTGCGCAGAGGGCAGCAGGTGGTTTTGCTTTACCTTCAACTAACCCGAGACTCTTTGCAAGCTTTTTTGTTTTGTTTTTTTTGTGTGGTTCTTACCGTATAATGAATATTATTGGATAAAATAAGCCTTGCTTTTCTTTTTCTGCATTCTGGTTTGTATGATTTTAGATTATAAATATAGATGAATAGAGAATTATTTGCAATGAGTTACTTGTGCTTCACAAATGCATTTATGCAGGGCCCTTTTAATGAAACCCCAATTATTATACTGAATATTCTGTGCTTTTCATCTAGGCTTATATTGGTGGTCATTTATCTAAGCCTATGTCTATATCTTAATTTTTGTTTTTTGAGGTCACTTTTTATTCAGATTGATTTTTGAGCGGTTAGTGTGTATGGAGATTGGGTTAGGTCATATGATCGAGCATGGTAAGTAGTAAAATGTCTTTAAGGTATCAAAATTAAAAAGCAAAATTGAATATCTTGTAGAACACCTTTAATTGGAAGTTATATACTAGCTGCTTGAAATTAAGATTTCATTTTAAACAAAGCAGAATTCGTTTATTTCTAAAATTTCTTTTATTGTACAACAGTCTAAATGCGTTCATGTAAGAATAAAAACTAATGCTTATGTTGAATTGTAGATCTGTGGAGGAATGTGGTTGGGACACCAAGCATGGATGGTCTTGTGAAGAAGCCTGATATTTTATCATTTTATATTGCCAGTAAAATACCTGTGTCCGAATGTACAAGGCAGGAGCTTTTGGAGATAGATGGCATCTCATATAGATTGCGTAGGGAGATTGAATTACTAGAGTGTGTTAATCTTATTCGATGTAGAAACTGCCAGGTAAGCTTCGTCCCATCAAAGCTTCACGCTGTTTGGTACTTGTTTGTGCAAACAAAATATTCCTTTTGTTCGGAATAAATTTTGATTCTAGTACAGATATTTTCTTCAACTGGAATTTTCTTCTGCACTTTCATCAAATGCAGAAAATAATGTACTTATCTCACTTGTATTTTTCAGACTATCATTGCAAGGCGGAGTGATATGTTGGTGATGTCTAGAGAGGGTCCTCTTGGGGCTTATGTTAATCCAGGTGGTCATGTCCATGAGATCATGACTCTGCACAATGCAAGTGGCTTAGCACTTGTGGGGCGAGCACATACACAATACAGTTGGTTTCCTGGGTAAGTTGTTCGTCAATTTTTTATCCTCTGTGTGATGCTTAGAAGATGTCAACTTGTTTATGTGGTATGACTTTAATTGTCCAAATTATAACTATTCATTCCTCATGGCAATTTTGAATATTATCATTATCATTAGTACTTAGCTCAGCTAATTGAAGGAAAAATACACTTCTATCGCTCAGTTATATATACTAACTTCTTCCGTGGTTGCTTTTATGTGAGGGTATTAATACTCAGAAGTAACTTCAAATATCTGTGTTACTTTTACGGGAAGATAATGGGAGTAATTTGCCACTTCTGACAGATATGCATGGACAATCGCCAACTGTGCTACATGTGAAAGCCAAATGGGGTGGCTTTTTACAGCAACGAACAGAAAACTGAAACCCAGATCATTTTGGGCGATACGCAGTAGTCAAGTTGCGGAAGAGATGCGCTAAAACTGTATTTAATGTGGATACCAATCATCTTCGTTCTGTTTGAAGCACTTGTCCATTGTGATGGCCTCATGCATCCATTTGCGATGTATACAATGCTTCTGGATAGGCATATAATGCTTGCATTGTAACAGCTTTGCGAACTAAAGTAACGCATGAATTTAACCTCTTTTATAGCCTTGTTCTTATGTACCAACTGTAGAAGACGTGATATCATTCTAGATCTCTTTCGTGTCTATTAGGCAATGTCTTGTTCATTGGTAAGCATGAGGTTGTACCTACAGCATCTTTCAGTTCTGGCAGCTTCACGTACCAGCTGCTGCTGCGTGTTCTGTTCTCATAGATTAGCTGCCTCCTTTGTGATACCGTCTGCCTCAGAGCTAGAGGCTCGGGTTGGGCATGAATCATAGATAGCATGTCCAATTCATCACCCGATCGATCTTTAATCGGGCTGGAGCATGTTACTTTCGAAGGAGATTCATGAGAGGACTTGTTAACCTGAGGATTTGGTTATTTCTAATCTCATAAAATTTGTTGCCTTTTTCATTTTTGTATGAAATATGTTGATATATAATGTAGCCTGGTTACATAAATTATTAATATTATTTATATTTAAAATTAATTTGTTTGCTAGTCATTTATACATGAAGAATCCTTTCATAACAAGAGTTTTTAGTCATGTTTTTTCTTTGCTCATTCTTTATTTATTCGTATAGTGGGTGAGGGGCATTGTCTCTTGATAGACTTCGCCGAAATCGGGTGAGATTTTTTTTTTTGGGGGGGGGGGGCCGGAGAGAATCGGATATTGAACATGTCATTGGATGTGCTGACCATGACCGCTAGTGTTGCAGCAACCCGTTAAAATATTCTCCACTAGTAAACAAATCTGTTTACATTAAAGGATGACAAGAGTTTGCAAAGTGGGATGCAGGGATCCCAGAGAGTTTTGGTGAGAGTCCCTCACGCACACGGTTGCTTCCGAAATGATCGCCACCGAGGTCTAAACCGGGAAGGAAACATGCAACCATTGCTGGCCTGAATCGCGTAGTCTAAACAAAGCTACCCGCTACTTTGGTTCGGGATGTATCTTATTGTTATCTAATTAATGAAACCTTAAATTACAAAACATAATTAACTTGTTGAAATTTTAAAGTGAAATTCTTTAAAAAGGTAAATTTTCGAAGTGATAAGTATTTTAAAATGGTGACATAATTACAATATAGCGGATGCTCACATAGAGTGACATAATAAAATGAGAGTCAACGTTCCGCACGGCAAATTAAATTCTGCAAAGTAGTCAAACTTTTTTGTGTTTTGGGGACTGGAGTCAAACTTTAATTACTTATACGTGTATGTGCCAATGTTTAATCTTTATAAAACTGTAGTTTCTTGCATGCACATCCTGCCTATAGGAGCCTTCGCAGACCGCTAACGCTAAGAATCATCTTCGGCAGTGGATACGCGTTCTACTTGAAAACAGATAATCATATATAAATAAAAGTAGTTTCAGTTCAAAGTTCAAACCCTCCTAACGTAATTTTTTGAAAATAAATGTCCTTCAGATTTATGCTTGAACGATGAGCCCCCGCATCACATTTATTCTTCGAATAAAGTCCCTCCGTTAAGTGTGAAGATAGTGCAGGTTGAAATCTATGGCGTCTGCCAAAACCGTTGCGCTATTTCTATGGGCTCTTCAGGGGCTCCTGTTAACTCTTGCAAGGTTGCAAGGGAGCACCACACAAACAATCGTTACCGGTAAATGCACTGGCCGGAAACTTCGTTTTTGGAATTTGACCGCAGAGATGATTGTAGCTCACATTCAGTTTCTCAAGCCCAGCAACGGCGTTAGGAACCTTTCCAAACACCGAATTCTTCGCCAAATCCAAATACTTCAATGTTTTGACTATCTTTAACTTCCCCAAATCAAACCGCAGTTTATTTTCCGATGCCCGGAAGCCCACCAAATATTCTGTCCTGTTCAGCAGCCCAACCGGACTTCCCGTTATTTCGTTACCAGAAAGGTCGATATAGTCATAGAAGTAAGTCTCTACTGGCTTCCAATCTTCCAGCTTCATCTTGATCCCACATTTCGCGAGCTTCAGAGAGAAGATAATCGGGGACGAAGTGACCCATCTTGGTATTTCCTTCAAATGAAATCTGTTATCGGACAAATCAAGCGATTCAATGCCTTTCACATTCATCTGCGGAAATGGGTCCACGAGAAAATTGTTGGACAGGTCGAGATTGAAGATCTTCGTGAGGTTCCCGAAACTTCTCGGCACGGTCCCCCAGAACCGGTTGGAGGAGAGGTCGAGAGTGTCGAGTGCCTTGAACTTCCCGAGAAAATCCGGGATTTGTCCCGTGAGATAGTTGTGGCCGAGCTCAAGGTAGCTCAGCTTCGGGGCAAGCGATGATATTGAAGGAGGGATTTGACCGGAAAATTTGTTCCGGGAAAGTCTGAGAATCCTGAGGTCGGGGAAAGACGAAAAGAAGTCAGGTATTGCTCCCGTGAGTTGGTTACCTTCTAGACTCAGGAACGTGAGACTCTGGAGCCTGCGAATTCCATTGGGCACCGATCCTCGGAGAAGGTTTCCACCAAGTTTGAGCTGGGTGAGCTGTGTCAACGCTGAAATTGAAACGGGTATCGGTCCTGTAAATCTGTTCCCTGACAAACTAAGCGCGCTTAATCGGGTAAGATTGCCAATATTTTCGGGTATCCGACCAGAAAGTCTGTTGTTTTCGATGTAAATGAATTGGAGGTTGGGTAAGTGGGAAACGAAAGCGGGAAAACTGCCCGAGATATTTTTGAGATCCAGGAGGTAGATGCCATCAAGGAATCGGAGCTTTGAGAGCGAAGGCGAAATAATGCCAGACAAAAGGCTAGTGGGGACGTCGGGTTGACCGGAAAGGAAGAGACTAGTGACCCGCTTGTCGTCATTCAGGCAAGTGACACCGGTCCAAGCACAACAGTCGGTACCCGACTTCCATGAGGCGAGCAGGTTGGACGGGTCGGACGTGATTCCGGATTTGAAACCCAGCAAGCCCGATTCATCATCCGGGTGGCAAGTGGAAGCACGGACAGTGAGGCAGTGGAGGGTAGAGATAGAGAGGAGAATGAGAAGTGGCCTGGACGAGAATTGCATATTGCTTCGTTGGCAGAGAAGGAAAGGATAGTGTCTGTAGACGAAAGGAGAAGGACTTGGATTTTATAGTTTTGAGAATGGGGAGGAGGACAGCCACAAAAGGCGGGAATGTTGCCCACTTGGGGGAGGGAAGGATAGGTTCGTGGCATGTAGTCAGACGCAGCCACCACTGCTGACTAAACCAACGTCGCCAGTTACGTTACGGATGATGGATCATTTAATGCATCCAACTCAGCTCTCAGGATTTGGTTCACAGATATGGTACATAGATAACAATGCACATTCTCCGCCTCCTTTCCTGATTATGGTTCATCTTCAGCTGGACCAGCTCACAGTTTTGGGCATCAATAGTCAAATGTCAAATTCATCTGCCTTCCCTCTAATCATGTGTCCGCCTTCCAAACATGACCATGCCATGGTGCTGCGAGTACAAATCTTCACTCGCTTTTTGGCAACCAGAAAAAATAAACTGTGTGCCGGACAGCATGGCAAATTCCAAAACTTCTTTGCCTCACAAGGACTCTGGAGTTCCAAATCAAACCTGCAGGATTAGTCTGAAGAACGTCAGAACAATAAAAACGACTTGGTACAAGATCCCTGAAGGATAATTACAGCAGTGCCCGAGTCTGCCTTAGATGGTCTCCCACATTTTCTGTGAAACATGGATGACTCCCTCGCATTCTCTTCTGGCTTAGGAACAGAACGGCTTCTGTTATAGTATTCCCTATAGCCACCATATTATGGTATTCTTCATCAGTGTCACATAAAGAACAAGAATATTCAGGTACTGTTCAATGACTCGCAACAAGTCCTGTAAATGCTAAAAATAAGTTCAGTTAAGTAGCATCTGTCTCCTTGTTGAATTCAAAATTAACTGTCTTTCACTCTAGTATAAAATATGCCAAGACTTAAAAAAAAATATTGAGAAACTAACCAAGTATTTTTTGATTTTTTCGTAACTCACGCCAGTCGATACAAGTAAAATAATATTTTATGATCTATTTTTTATTAGACATAATTATATATATTGCCTCTAGTGCTTAATGTATTAAAAACAAGAGCCACAGTAAAACTTGAACTCCACTTAAAAAAAAACAAAGAAAATTAAATGTGATACGCAAACAAGGAGTACTACAACCCCGCAAGGCGGTAGCCTCAGCCACACAGCTTGACACTAACAGTGAGATGTTTTTTTTTGGTATAAAAGAGGGCCTAGGCCCAACTACAAAAATTAAACCAGCTGGGGATCACCTCCCCAAATTCTCTGTTGCCACTAGCTCCTTTAGAAAAGCAGGGCATACCTCGAAGAGTAAAGTCTCTGATAATCCTCTCTTAGCCAAAGCATCAGCAACACTATTACACCCACGAGGAGTGGAGACCAGTTTTGCTTCCCAAGAATAATGGAGCAAGGATCTAATCTGAGTGAACAAATTGCTGCAATTCTGGATCGGAGCATCCTTTGCAAGATTATCCACTAACCACTTAGCATCAGAATCCATTAAATTGTATGGTTAAGACGAACCATTCGGCAGGACTCGGCCCAAAGCCACGAAAGGCCCAAAGTTATTAACTTACGGGCCAACTGACATTCTCTTCTGCTAAGGCGACGGTTGATCATCCCCACCGCTGCCTGAAGCAGCCGGCTCGCCTCTCGATGTTCTTTCAGTTTCATTATGCAAGTATCCCTTATAAATGCGAAGATACGGTAACAACAGTGGAAATCCCTTGCTAGGGTTTTGAGTCACTCTGGGGCTTGGTGGAGCAAAAGGGAGCAATTCAATCAATCATACCAGCGTTTTAGTTTTATCGCTATTTTCTTCGCGAGACGGAGGTGCTTCCATGGACCGCTTGCGTCCTCGGAACAGACCCGTCTTTTTCGGATTCACCAATGCTGAGGTATAATTGTATTACTCTCGTCTCCCTTTTTTTCCTTTAAATTTTGTGTTAATGTTTGAAATTAAGCATAAGCTAAGGCAACCAATGGACTTTAGAAGAAGTCTATATTTAATTGTTGTTTGGAAATTGGTAGATACATCCGTGTCTGGAGTAAGTTTTCACCAGTAATCATTTCTTAGCGGGTCAACGTGAGTTTAATTATGTTTGTGGGATTTTAATCGCGAAGATGGCTATTCTATCATTTGCGTATATAAACACATGTAGCATTAACTATTGGCTTATTTATTCTGAGAACATTTCCATTTCAAAGTTGTGTGATTCAGTGTCCTATATTGGTTGATACCAAAATCACGTCTGGGCCTATCACCTGTTAGGCATGCCTGAAGTGATTATTGTTCTGCCTTTGTTTTTTTTTTTTTCCCCCTCTTTTGTTTTTTCCCTCTTTATGTAATCTTCCTTCACATACTTGATGTCCTATTTATATCTAACTCTGTGCGTGTTTAATAAGATTCATGCGTTTCAATGAGGAGTGATTACTAGGGAAGCAACTTTGTGAGACTTATATCCCTAAAATTTGGCGAAGAGCTTCTCTCAATAAATTTGGAAGAGTTGGTTCCTGGGGGTTTGAAACTCTTGGCAAATTGGTTCCTGTCTAATGAACTTCAAAGATTTTTTGATGTGGTAACATCAATAAAATAATATTAAAATCATGAAGGTGTGATAGCATTTCGATAACACTGCATAATGTTTCTACAATGCATCAGATATTGTTGTTAGTGTCGTTAAGGCTTCGTGGCCTTTCTCAGCATGTAAATATGTGTCTACTTTGGGGACTTATTTTGTTAAAATGAATTAACTTTTTGTCGCCATGGTGGACAGATCGAGAAAATGGAAAAAGCACTACAAGAAGCTGGGGAAGAATCACTGGGCAAGGAATTTTGTCAGAGACTTACTAAAAGTTTTAAGTGAGTTTCACTCTGGATGCTCTAGTGGTATAATTTTCAATATAAGTTGAATTTTCTTCTGGTAATAAAATAAGATACTTGTGTTATCCTGAGGAGTAAGCAGTTTGCGTATTATCTCTGTGCAGCCGCTCCTCTGGCCGTGCTGGCAAACCTGTCATAAAATGGACTGAGGTAAATACAGTTCTCTTACATATCATGTATATCATTCCCATGTATATCATTCCAGTTCCAATTCACATGCTTTGTGGCTTTTAGTTCAGTCATTCTTTGTAAATTTTTAATTATTCCTTTTTTCCTTTGGGGGAGTATGTTTAGATACACAGTTGGTTTCAGACAAGGCTTCAAGGATCGCCTGAAGTCCCTAAAAATGAGTTTACTCGTACAAAAGGCCTTGAAAGTAAGGAAGGTGAGAGGTCTTGGATGCCTAAGGGATCTTTAGCATATCTCCTTCTACTGCTCAGTTTCACCTTTCTATGTAAAATTTGTTTATGTGTTGGCATATTTATCTTATTCTCTTGGTTTTTTTCACCCTTTTGGAGGTATCCGAGACCCATTAGAGTTGGAATTTGAGGCGAGGTCATCAAAAGATGGAGCATGGTGAGCATATATGCCAGCTTATTTTGAATTTATTTAGAAATGCGGAAATTGCTGAAGCAATGGTACTGAACCACATTTTAGCCCTCTGCCCCCAGAGTTGGAACATCTAAACTAGATGCTTCTCTGCTATAAGCTAGTTCTCAATATGATGCCTTTGCCTTCTCAGATATTGTAATTTAATACTGATAGAAACTGAAGATATCGGCCATCTCCTTTTTTTCAAAAAAGGAAAAAAAAAAAAAGAAGAAGAAGAAGACTGACAATCACATGCTACGCTGATGTTGCTGAACTTAAGCCTGTGAGTATATGGTGACACATGATGCTGTCTCCCTGCAGGTATGATGTTGAGAAGTTTATTGCCACAGATTTCTCAGCACAGGTGAAGCTGTAAGTTTTCATCATCTCCAAGTTCCATAGCATAGTACTGCCAGGGTTGATGTTGAATTTGATCATTTTAACACTCCCAACAAAAAGAGTGGAGAAGTTTCGTCTTTGATAGAGTTTTGCCCTTTGTTAAAGGAAGTCCGCGTTAGATTTATTGGATTTGGAGCTGAGGAAGACGAGTGGGTCAATATAAAAAATGCTGTGAGAGAACGCTCAGTGCCTTTAGAAAATACTGAATGTTCCAACCTAGAAGTTGGAGACCTTGTCCTGTGCTTCCAGGTGACTCAGACGTTAGCGTGCTGATCATATATAGTTTTCTACCTTTCAGTGTATTCTGCTTTCACTTGACAAAATCATTTTGATTCCAGGAGAGGAGAGATCAAGCAATTTATTATGATGCCCGTATTTTAGAGATCCAAAGAAAAATCCATGATATCAGAGGCTGCAGGTGTCTCTTCTTGATTCGGTATGATCATGACAATAGCGAGGTACGTACTATTCCTTTGTTAGCTTGTGCTAACTGGTTGGTAGGCTACTGGGTAATGCAAAATTTTGAATTTCATTTCCCCATTTCCAGGATAGGGTTCGCCTGAGGAGACTTTGCCGCCGGCCAAAATCTAAGGTTTAATTCTTGTCCGGAAAAGAGAAGAGATCCTGGGTTTATATAATATGAATTAATTTTTGAAATTCAGGCGGCGTAGCCTCAGCAGTTGGGCGTCGGCAACGGCCTGGTATACTTGGCGAGAATCAGCATGCAAGCTGAATATTTCTGTGTTTTGGCTTGTTCATATGACTTTAATTGCTGAAACATGGAATTTTGTTCACTTCTTGTTGGGCGCGAGGGTTTAGCTGCTTAAACCATCAGTTTAACTTGAGAATCAACCAATCAACCTGCTGCCTCGCGATCATACAACTTTCACGATCTTACAGTGAGAGACAAGCTAACATGATTTACACTGTCTTGCATTGAGAGGGGGGCTCTGACATGATAAAACTCAGTTCGCTGCCAATTTAATTAGGATGCAAATTGCGAAATTCTCGCCGATTTCTGAAACTCAGTTCCAATTAAAATATCCCAGGACATTTTTTGGTATGGGTTTCCCGCCAATATTGAACTGGGCCCTTATTAGATGCTCATTACAGCACATGTCCAGTTTAGTGGCTCGCTTGGTTCAATGATAGGATGGTAGGGTCGTACTGGAATAGTAGAAAATGGAATATAGTGTAATGTTGATTGCAATATTGTGAGTTTTTATGGTATGTTATTAAGAATATTGAATATAAGTGTATTTTTAAATCAAATATAAAAAAAAAACTTATATTTATATCTTACTGTACGAGCTTGAAAGTTGTAGATAACCACCCTTGCTTATTTTTAGATTTATAGATTATAGATAACCAAAGTAATATTAAAAAAAAATAGTTAAAGTTAATGTGAAAAAACTAACTTATTTTTTGAAAAAACCACCCTTCTATTTAATATAAAAAATAAGCTATAGTTTTTAACATCAATTTTAACTAATTTATTATTACAAAATTTGGTCATCTGCATCTTATAAGAAGTACGGGGATTAGTGTTTTGTTTGTATTTTGATCTAGAAAAATTATGCTTCCTTTATTATTACTTGCGTATTCTTATTTTAAGAAAAAACAGATGAATGAATGTCTATTGGATCACCTAACAATTTTGGAGAAATTACAAAAAAAAGATTCTGAAATTTAAAAAACACAGATAGGGATCATAACAACTTCACTATAATTTTTGACATATCCCGTGACAATTTCACTATGATTTTTGGCAATATAGTGAAGTTGTTACGGGTTTCTATCTGTGTTTTTTAAATTTCAAGTTTTTAAATTATGATTTTCCCAACAATTTTTATGACCAAATTTTTACCAATGGTCGGGTGTGGGCTTTTCAATTTAAGTGGAGAATTGAGAACTGTGAGGCCTATGTTGGTTTCGAGGATGGAGAAAGATCCGAAGGAGAAATGGGAAGGGAAAGTATCGGCGACGCTGAGAAATGCGTCGGCGAAGCAGACATGGGAGCTGATGAAGGACTTCTTCAACCTTCATAAATGGTTCCCCACCCTGGCGACCTGCTACGGCATCCATGGCTCCAACGGTGAGCCTGGCTGCATCCGATACTGCTCTGGCTCTTCCATCCCCTCCGACGGAGCCGATCAACGCCTCAGCTGGTCCAAGGAAAGGCTTCTGGCCATCGATCACGACGAACGCACCATCGTCTATGAAATCGTGGAGAGCAATATCGGCTTCAATTCCTACCGCTCAACTATGAAGGTGTCGCCCATGGCTGCCGACGGTCACGACGGTTCTCTGATAGAGTGGCATTTCTCCCTTGATCCTATCGACGGTTGGGTACTGCAGGATTTGATCGCCAAATACGATCTTGGCCTCCAACGCATGGCTGCCAAAATGGACCATCATATTCATTCTGCAAATTCGCCCAATGCTTAACGGCTATTGGTTCTGCAAATCCGTGATTAAAACTGCTACTCTGTGCTTCTCGTCGTCCGACCAAAAAAAATATTTTATGTCAGCTTATAATTTGGTCTTTGTTCTCTTTTATTTCTTTCCGTGTTCCAATTGTTTTCGGATTTGACCTCAAACATAACCAGTCACCCCCTTGGGCTAGGAAGTGTCCGAGGGAGAGACGAGGGGTTATTTTCGGATATTAAAAGGGAACATCGTCAATCAGGGATTCCATGCTATATAATTATACTACAATACAAGTTCATGCATATCTCTCTTCGTACGAATGCATTTATTAGAGTACAGTCAACAAACCCGTTATGAAGATAACGTCAACACCATCCTTTTCAAACTGGACAAATTCAAGGGTTTTGGATCTCCACGCTAAGATTCTTCCCACGAGCAACATCTGTCTGCCATTACCACTCCACTACTCATTTTTCTATAGATATTTTTTTTGGTGAAAAGTAAGCGCCTCTCCCATTATTGATATTCTTTCACGCATTCTTTGGGGCTCTAAGAACTTGCGTTCATACAACGAAGATAGAACAGCAGAGCCCAAAACCCCAATCCCCCCCCCCCAAAAAAAAAAAAAAAAACTCTTCGTCCTTCTCTGTTGTTTTTACTCGTCGCGCTCTGTTCCAGAGACGAATGGCAGAGGAACCCAATTCTAAGTGGGAAGGTAAAGCCTGCGTTGAGATCCCACACACAGGCACAGAGCAAGCATGGAGTCTGTTGGAGGATTTCTGCAACCTGCACAGATTGATGCCCATAGACACGTGCTATCAAGTAGAGGGCTTTCCTGGTCAGCCTGGCCTCGTCCGGTACTGCGCTTCCACCGTTCAAGGCCAGGGGGAGGCTGAGACCACCGTCAAGTGGGTCAAAGAGAAGCTGCTTGCCTTGGATCCTATCCAGCGCTGTTTGACCTACGAGGTTTCCGATAACAACATCGGATTCAAGTCATATGTGGCCACAATCAAGGTGTTGCCCATGGCCAGTGATGTTGATGTTCAAGGATGCAAGATCGAATGGTCGTTTGAGAGTGATCCGGTGGAAGGATGGGCATTTCAAGATTTGGTCTCTTATGTTGACTCCTCTCTTCACTACATGGCCACTAAGGTGCAGCAAGCATGCTCTGCTAATTAGTAGTCATTAGTACGAGCTGAGGACCGCGTAAAAGTGAAGCCAACTACACGGGATTGTCTACCTGCAACCATCTCTTGATTATCGCTTTTTATATGTAGTTTAATAATTTCGCCAAGACTCCTAGCTTCCTTTTTGTTGCAATTAACGTTCTCATCACTGTCAATTATCGTCTTCGAAAACTTCGGATAAAGTTGCTCAAACCCAGAAAACATAAATCTGGGCTCATCCACAAATATCAAGTTCGTGATCTCAGATGCTAAACTGCCACATGAGCAGGTCGATTTCTACTTAATATCGACATGATAAATTTGATTCCAGCTTACTTGTACGTCCATTTGATTTTCCTGGTAGTTTGGAAAGAATATAATGATACGAGTACTTACACTGTTTGTGTTATTGAAGTGGGTATAAACTTAATTGCAAATTAGTTTTTGAAGTGCAGCGTGGAGAGGCACTTTCGTCAACATTTAAAAAATATATATATTTGTATAAATAACAAACAGTCACTGTTAATGTACTTATTTATGTGTCCGTAAAAGCGGTTTCTTTTTCCCAACGGATCTGTTTCCTCGTCTGTTTCAACCTGCAAAGCATAAGCAAACAAGAAAACCGCCCTACCGGCCTCATGAACGATGAAATTGAATCGCATCCCTTCACGAAAGGCGAACGAGAGGCGAACACAGGACTACAGGATTACGAAACGTTACTTATAACTTCGCTAAATAAATACAACTTTCCTGACGTAACAAACAATCACACATATATGGCATCCAACATGAAATGAATTACCTATCTGCCTCCTACAAACCATTTTTCCCAAGAGCCCTGTTGAGTGGTGGTTACCAAATTCAACGTCTCTTTTAATCCCACTTCCAATTATTCCCCAGTACTAATCAACATTTTCATAAGTTATTTAATCTCTCTTCCATCCAATTAATGATGTCCTGGGCTATCCCTTCACGTTCAGGTTCAAACAGAAGGTCGTGCAAGAAGCCATCGTAAAGTTTGATTTCTTTGAACCGAGAAGCTGCCTCGTTGTATAGCTCTCGCGAGGCAAGCGGATCAGTCACCTTATCAGCAGTTCCGTGGAGAACAAAGAATGGTACTGTCACAGATTTTAGGTTCCGCATTAAGTAGGAAGAGATACGCAATATTTCATGCCCTGTTCGGACCCTTATGGGTCCTGTGTAGACCAAAGGATCAGAGTACTTGGCCAACAATGCTGCTGGATCCCTGGAAACTGGAATCCCCCTTTTGTTTGCTCCTTTAAATTGCAATTTTGGAGCAACCAGGGAAAAAACTGGGGCAACAGCCTGCATGAATCCGGAAAACTGATGATGAAGAAAAGCAAAAAACACGTTATAGAGCACATAACACATTTTAATGCAATAATATTAAGGTTTTCACCCCTTCTCTTTCCCATGTACCACGTTCAATTGGGGTCATACAAAAAATACAAATTTCAAAGCATAAGACTGAGGAAATAAGTTTCAACTATAACATCGTTCTGGCTGAGAGTTTGAAACGGAAAACTTGACACGCAGGGAGCATGTTTAGGGAATTCTATCTATACAAGCATAGTGATTATAAAACCAAGAGAACGAGAAGTACTCAGAGAGAATTCATCAATCATCATGTCCATTTTTGACTATGTCTATATCCATGTTTGGTACTCTAAAAAGTTAACTGCTGCATTCCCAAAGTAATACACCACTAGTGACCGTCTGTCCATTCTAGTTCCAATAACAAAAAGGAAATAACAAGAGCATTCACCACGCCTATTTTTGACACCCTTTTCCATTTCTTTAGAAAATTTTACACGTACTACACTAAGAAGTTACTTGGTATGATATCAAAGTAAGCTTACCCGAACAATAGGATGAGCTGGCTTAACACGCAAAGCTGGTGAAGTCAATACAATTCCTCCCACCATCTCTTCAATCTGAGGGTAGGAAGCCGCCTACACAAAAAGTACATGACCTTTCAAGTTTAAAAAGAAAAAAAAGAAAGAAATAAATTCATGGAGATTTTCAGAAGATAAACAGTCCTTTACCTTCAAAACCACAGCTCCTCCAGTGGAGTGACCAAAGAGAAAGCATGGTACCCCAGGATTGTCCAACTTTATCTTCTCCAAGAATGCCCCCTGTTTACATTATCGCTGTTCACTATCAAAACGATCAAGCAACAAAGTTGAACCTGAATGAAGAACTTTGTCCATGTCCAGGCATGCTCAAATTAAAAGAGAAACAAGAGATAGTGACAACTTCCATCGACACCGGTGAAAATTAGATTCAATCTTATGCAATCAAATAGCTCTTTGTACAATGTATTTTATGAAAATATTTATCATTCAGTCCAAAGCTTTAATCATAAATATCGTGCCTGTAAAATTTCACAGCAATTTGAGATTTTGTCCTTCATCAATTTAATATTGATTAAAGACAGAAGACATTTCAAATATGATAAGCTATATACTATCCAATAATTAATTACATAATTATTCTTGGCTAACTTTTACAATATCACTTACACAATCGACATGGTAGTTGCTTTATGTTCTAATGGTTGGACTGATGAAAATTGCATTCTACAGTTAGGTTATCTAATGGTGTAATTTCATACTGTATTATAACCAAATGTTGTACTGCTGTCCATCATTCCAAACATTGACGTGAAACCTTCAACATGGATATCTAAATATAAATTTATTTTAACAAGTAAAATAAATACTGCAAGGCACCAGAGAAAAATAGCAATTATAGAAAGAACACTTCTTAAAGTTTTGTTTATGAAGACAGCAGGAAATGCAGTCAAACATACTATGTCTGCAGCAACATGATCAAGTGATGGAACATAACCATGCAATCCATCACTCCCTCCGTGACCTGTAAAAAGAAAGCATAAGTGTAAACCTTCAGACAAGAGAATGGCAGAAAAAGTCCAGAAAAAAACTTTATCCTTGCTCATAAATAGGACGAAAAATAAACATCGCAAAGAAAGGGGGGGTATCCATTCCTATTACTACATTATCCAAAAACATGAGGTTAATTCTTATCTCAACAAGATAGAGATATACTAGAGAACAGGAAAGTGTTATGTAGCAATGACACGGACAGAATTAAAAACCGGTCTTAAGGATAGTAAATACCTATCCAGTCCATTGCATAGACACCAAAGTTGCACGATGTCAGTTGCCTTGCAAAATCAGCATATCTTCCACTGACAAATGAACACTGTGTCAGATAAAAGTTATCCATAACTTTTATATGCTCCAAAAAAATAAAAACAAGGGCAGTCAATTTTTGTTTTTTTTGGGGGGGTGGATTTTGCCAACAAGCATAGGGGACTTTAATTGTAGCGATGATGAACTGAAATAATAAAATCTGCCTCATCCCTCAAGCAGAAATAATCGTCATTAACTTCAACATAGTGAAGTTTCTGTCAGTTGATCAAATTAAGCTTACCTGTGTTCATTAAGCCCGTGAATGATTACGAGAATTCCCCTAAAAAAACAAAAGAGGAAAAATTATTAGATAATGTAAAACAGAGCAGCAGAACAAAGGCAGCCATGGGGGACGGAAAGCTGTACATGACAATCAGAAAAGATCTAGGATATGAAAACCAGGGGAAAAATTCAAGAAGCCAGAACCTTAATATCGTCATCTGAAAATGCCTCTTCAACTAATCGAGAAAAGGAAAAATAGCGTCTCGACACAATTGACATCACAACTACTTTATCTTAGCAAGAAGACGACAATTACATTCCACGAAGCTTAAGTTTGTATTACACTGTTGCTTGATAGTTGTCCAATAGGACGCTCCCAAAATAGAGATCAAAGAACAGCACGCAATCCACATAGAGATCACAGAGCCACATAATTTGAAAGTTGGGATACCCAATTAACATTTCTCTAAAAGAGGGTTATCGTTTCAATCACTTTCATTCACATTCACAATGAACAGTACAGCAAGGGGCCAGTTCAAGCCCATATCCTATTTAGCGTATTTCAACTTCGTACGAACACCAAAAAGATGACCAAATAACTTCTCTTCAGCTCATTCAGAACTTAGTTCCTCCACCTGCTAAGTTATTTTCAATTCTACAGGTTTCCAACGTGAAACTGGAAAACAACATCGTTAACTTCCAATCTGTTCAAGCCAGTAAAAAAACACCTTTTATACGTTACATATAGAACTCCTCCAGAGACATAAGATTCGCCACAAAAAAAAAAAAAACCATCAGCGAGTTCATTGAACAGCATGAGTAGTTATTAGATGGAGATTGGCAATCGCAAATTTCACTCTCTTAACCCTTCCTTCTCTTGAAAAATGAACTCGACATTCAGAAACCAGAGGCGAGGACTTAAAGACTAAAAAGCCAACCAAAGATAGTGACGAGGCAGGACAAATATTAGAAGACCTTACTTAATATCATCAGAAACAGGAAACCAGGAGCGGCAAAACAGAGCGTTACTTCTAAGGCCACAGAAGAGAGAAGTTGCCCATCGGCAAGTGGCATCATCGCGGGCCATGCGCACATCTTCGGCTAAAGCTCTTCTCCGGAGGGTGTCATCCTCCTCTCGGATCAACCACAAGGACCTCCGTTTCCGATGCTTCCTAGGAGAAGAAGGCGGAGTGCCGAGCAAGGGAGGAGAAGAAAAGCGACGAGGACGAGGGAGAAAGAACCATAAGAAGGAAAGGAAGACGGTGTACACGAAAATCAAAGAGGCCCTGAGGGCTTTGAGGATGGGAATGATGCGGTTGCTAGCACCAGAGGTCAACTGGTCCATCTCGGCGGAAGGCATGGCAAAGATGGAACGGAGGAAGGAGAGAGGGAGGGAAAGAAAACAAATGCGAGAGGCGATCGCGGTGGCATTTATTAACAGCACGACGCCGAGGAGGGGGAAACGTTGGGGTAAGGAAAACCAACGGTGCGGATTGAACAGGCCAGCAGCGTGGTAGGATCGGGGATTCACGAAGGAGGACGTGGCGCCATGCTATTGGTCAAAAGAAGCGCGTTATTGCTTGACACCGTCTTATTTTTACGAGGTCGTTGGGGCTGAGAAGCAGGTGCGATTAAATAGGTCCACACCTGATCTTTCTTGGCTTAGTTAAATTATTAGCGTTGGGCTTGTGCCAGAGTGCTTCTTGGAGATCACAATTGTATCTCTGCTATTTTCTGCGATGTTACCTCAGACGAGGTGGAAATGGCGACAATCCACGCGGTTCGTTGGAAAAAAAAAATATTATTATCTGAACTCAAAACTTCAACTCAAATAAAATCCTTTAGTTGTTGATCGGAAATATAACCGAAAATATCCCATAAAATTATAAATAAATGCCAAGAAATTAATTTTTGATTATTATAAAAGCTCAAAATACCATTTTAACCATTCACTTTAGGAGAGAGCAACATAGCCTCTCTTTTTTTTCCAATACTTGAGCCGCACATTGCATTACTTAATGATTTAAAAACAATATGTCCGTTTTTTTTTATAAAAAAAAAAAACCCCGCAAGTAATAAATGGGGACGGAAAGCGAGTGGGGCCACGGCCATTTTTCCTTAACCGTGTAATTTCTGTGCCCTCTGTTTGTGTATGGGTTTGAAGAGAAATCCAAGGCTGAGCTGTAACAACCCACAACCAAACACCCAAGTCAAGAGCCATGCATCGGGTCATCGATCCATTCCATTCCGTTTGACGCTAACAGTTAATGATTCGCGTCCATATATAAGTGGGCCACGTGTCATCAATCATCCGGAGGCAGTTGCTGATGTTTCTCTTGCAGAATGGCGGTGTTTTAGAAAGTATTTGGATAGAATCAAAATCATAATTTTAAAAGTGTTTTTACGGTATAAAAAGTAAATATGTAAATGAATTTATTTCGATTTAAAAAAAAATACTTCTAATATTATCCAAACACGTTCTTAGTTCCCTTCATTCATTTGAGCACACAAAAGTGAGCACACCGCCCGACGATTTTTTAGGTGTGAACAGAGCACCCTTTCTTTATATATTTATTTATTACTAAATTCTCAATTGATCAAAGTTAGAAAATGAGCTGAGGCAATATAAGATATTACATTACCGTTTGACTCTTCACAGCTATATTATATACGGAGCTGTGTGCATCGAGAATCCGCGTATGGAGGCCATGAGCTCATTGATGAGTACTATTGATTTTGCTGGAGTTGAATTTCTGAGGAGCAGTTGGCAATTATAAAAGTGGATTGGTTAATAATAATAATGAAATTGATAATGGAAGTAGCGGATGAGGAGGGGTGGGCCCCGGGCGCGGGGGGGAGAAGAAGATAGGAGACATCATCGTTGAAAGGGGGTCCCTGTTAGGCTAACAATATGATGACTTTGAGCGATGAAAGGATGGGGCCCCTGCCTGCAAAGGTCGGGTCCAACTGGTCGCAAACGGGAACGCAAGACGTCTTTCCTATCACGTCATGGGCTCGATACCTGTGCGAGACATCCTGAGAATAGTCTGGCCGATAAGCTGGGATACCCTGAGTTAGCGATACCATTCTACTCAAAAAAAAAAGGATGGGGTCCCGTTGGAAAGCAGCAAGTGAAATACGGAGGCCCCCATAAAAGACGAAGCAACGGGTCTCTTGAACAAGCGCCAAAGGGATCTCTCCTAAAAGAAAGAATTGACCTCGAGCCTGTCTGGACCACAACCATCCACGAAACAAGTCAACATCAAGATTTTTCTCCTCATCCTCCAGGAACCATTTTTAAAAATTATTATTTTTTGATTTTGATGTTTATCGTATTGAATAAATGCTTCCCAACCGAGAAAGAGTAAAGTTGACGACTTCGCTATAAAGAATTATACTGATTCTCTCGTAAAGAACATCATTAAAAGCATCAAATGACAACATTAAGAAGCCACGTTTCCAGGAAAGCCAGTCAGTATGATAATTAACTTGTAAGCTTGACCTAGAATCTGGACACAGGCACTTAGTATTCAACGGACCCTCGTCTGAGTTGTGGGTTGCATGTCATGGTGGATATGGATAAACAGAGAGTCTAATGCCCTCCCTGGGACAAGTCTCTTGAACAATAGCCTCATGACATGACAGTTGAGAACACCAACCCCCCCCCCCCGGGGGGTGGATTTGAGATAAGGTGTGCTCGAAATATCCAAAGATGGGGGCATAATACGCAGGGATAAAGAGTCTGTCCTGATAAAGAGTCCTCTGATTTGATGCAAAAGGGACTTTTAATACAAAATATGCGGTCCTTGTTCATTAGTAAACAAATATGGTGTGGTGGAGACTAAAATCAAGACACGCCAAAATATAGGTGTGGCTCGGGCTTGTTTAGCGTGAAACTACGAAATCAGGAACAAATTATATAAGGATGACGACTTCATAGGAGTTAAGCATAAGTATCAACGAAACCTCGAATCAAGCTTGAAACATAATGGATGTCCTTTTGGCTTCCTTCTGGAAAATATGTATTCCTCTCCATCCACTTTTTAAGACATACTCCTCCGGTCTGTTTTTTATATCTATTAATTTTTTAAAATTATTCATATGGATACTTTCTCAGCCATAATCAAGTAATTGAGGGAAAAAAATATATTAATAAAGATGATTGTGATATTTTAGAAAAAATATGTCATATTTCTTATAATTAACTAACTTATATAACTTTCTTAATCTAATCAAACTAGTTAAATAAGTCTTTATATTAAAGATCGAAGGAGTACATGTTATTTTCAACGTGGATGTATGGTGAATAAAATTGAGAATAATGATATCCATTCACTTTAGAGATTTTTTCCCCCATAGGATCAGCTTTTAATTTACATAATATAAACCAGTGACAGCCAAATAACAAATCATTTAAAAAAACACGGTGTATGCTGATAAATTTGTTCTCTCGCATGTACAATTCCATGTCAATATGAGTTACAGTCCCCCCCCCCCCCCGGGGAAATCTGAATGGATAAGTTGTTGCTTATTTTCATGACAAGGAAAGAGTTGGACATTAATTACGAAGATGTGAATGGCATGTGGAAGGCCTGCGTGGGCAGTGGTGGAAGATAAAGAGTGTGTGGCTAAACAATACGACATGGTAGCTCAGAAGAACTAACTTGTCTCTCGCTTCTCCTCACCTGTCAATCTCAAACTGCCAACATCACCCTCATCTCCTTAATGCACACACATATCCACCTAATAAGTTAGCTCCTCAATATAAGACTTGTTTGGAGTTGCTTATATTTAAGTGTTTATAATTAAGTTTAAGTAACTCGAGACAATACTCTTATCATATTTTTTATCTTGTATTTTATGAATTTTGATTGAAAAGCTGTATTTAAAAAATCCTATCGCTATTACAAACAATCACATAGAGAAGTAAGACAACATTCTTTAACTCTCCTCTATAGGTCTCTTTAATCTCGGCAGTCCATAACTTATGGGGACTGTGTGTACACCCTATGAACCATTCATTCAGCTCCAATAAAAAGTGTTATAAATCCTGCACGCACCTATCTAAATATGCAGACAAAACATCCAAGTTTGTTCAGTTTTTAATTTTGCTGTTTTTTTTTCACCTCATCATTCTCAATCGAGTGCTTTACGGGGCCCCTTCTTGCTCTCTCTTTCTGTTTTTTTTAAAAAAAAAACTTTCAGGCCACTGGTGGATCTCATTATTCGTCCGGATTGTTGCATGGGCTTACAAGAATGGGCTGCCCATTACCACACTTCATCCCACGAATTCCTTCTGGGTCCTGTTTTTTTGTAGCCGACGGCCGTCCAGAATAAACAAGACCCATTTGTCTGCATATCTGCATATCCTTATATCTAGAATAACATGCATAAATATGTGACCCAAAAAAAAAAATGCATAAATAAATTATGTAGAAAGAAGTGAAAAAAAAATGATTCAATAGGAAAACTGATAAACCAGTTAGTGGTCCGATTTGGTTCAAACAATGAACCAGTTAGAAACTGAACCAGTCAAACCAGCAAAAATCGGTGTAAACCGATAACGAACCGGTTTGAATGATTATTTTGTTATTGGTTCTATTTTTCTCATTCAACTCATAATATTTCGGTCATTATATATTTGAATAAATTTTAATAATAATGATTATTAATTTTAGTTATTGAGGAATCATAAGGATTAAAATTCTCAATGTTATTGTATTTTGTCATTGTTACAATCAAATTATTGCTACATTTCCTTATATTTTGTTATTATTAATTAAATTTTATTATTTTAATATGACCAGTCTGATGTCGGTTTGACCTCGATCTAACCTATTGACTCTTAAACCATTATCTCAATCGATTTAGTGTCCAGTCTAGGTTTTTGTTCCTTGAAGTGATGTGCCTGACTTGAGATATTTTCTTTTTATATAAAATCTTTAGGCAGGGCTCAGGCTGAAGGCTTCGCGAATCTAGGCGTTAATCTATACGCCACCGTTTTAGAATGCCTCTACAAACGGTGTGATGGGATTTGAAAAGGTGCGGTTCATGGTGCTGAACCCGTGGAGTATGAGTTCTGACTTCGGATATTTGACCCCCATTAAGCCGGATATTTTATTGTTTTCTAACTTAGTGTCTGTTTTTTTAATTCTAAAATTAGCCAGTCCCACTGAAAATTTTGTCGCAAATGTCTTCGTTCGCAACGTATAAGACGAATGTAAAAACGACAGATGAGATCTCGCATTTCGAGAATCAAGAATTATCTCCCGATCTAAGAAAAACAGAAGCTGCTTTGTTTCCTTCAAGAGAGGCCAAAAAGTAGGAATTTTATCGTCAACCTTCAACAGATCCATGTGAACGTTATCTGCCTTTATTTTCCTCTCTCTCTCTCTCTCTCTCTCTCACATGACTTCCTGTTTCTCTTCCCTCTCGTGATTTTGGATTTCCGTAGGATGATCTGGTATTTTTATCTCCTCACTGTAACATCTTCCCATATCTATGTTGCTTTTGTTAGCTTGTCCCGCAACCATAGTTTTTCAACCTAAAAGCGATCATATTAAACAAGACTCATCCTTCTAGTGTTACGTGTCTGGGAGGCAAGGACATGTACGTATACCAGCAGTTTCCAGTGTGCTCGTCTCGTTTGTCTAATTTATAGTTTTCTTGTCCAGAGATAAAAAAATCATGTGCATTTTAAAGCTTATATCGTTAAATTTGTCTGCAATTTATAACCAATTCAAACCCTTCACATGCCAAAACTCATATGGCCCTGTTACGAATAACCAACACTTCTGCTTTGGATATATGAGAAGAAAACAAAGTGTGTTCACGAGATGTATAAAGATTTCGGGAAGTAGTTATCCCCCAACTTGGCTTCGTGAAAAACCTGGGTTAGTCCGGGTTTTTCTGTAATGTTCATTAGTTACTAGACTCAGCATAGCTAGATTCCACATGCATCTTCTTCACACGAGAAATCTAATGTGTATATATAGATGCTCATAATCTGCTTGAACATATATGTCATAGTCTGCCTAACATTTTCTCACAAGCTATTAGTGACTAGCTACACTATATCTTGTGCATATTTTCGCTGACATAGATACTCATCATCATCATCATGGCTCCCAACCCAAACAAGGCAAATCAACTGGTAGGGTTGTACACAAAGAGCAGTGATCAGCACGCAGGCCCGAAGGATGGTCTTGAAAGAACAATATCTGACATCACGTCGGAACTAAACCAACAAGGCCTGGAAGACGAAGGGGTGGCGGCCTCCCCCATTTGGGAGGTGAAGAATGTGAAGTGCGAGTGTTGCGGAATGTCAGAGGAGTGCAGCGAAGAGTACATAAAGGACGTGCGTCGCAGGTTCTGGGGAAAATTCATATGCGGTTTGTGTGGGGAAGCTGTGAAAGAAACGATGCAGAAGAATGGTGGGAAGGGAAAGGAAGCAATGGAAGAGCACATCAATGCATGCGTCAAATTCAATAAGATGGTCAGGTCGTATCCAGTGTTGTACCAGGCTGAGGCCATCAAGCAGATCTTGAAGAAAGCATCAAGAAGCAGATCAGCCTGCAGGTCTGTGACTCCTTCTCGTGAGGCTGCTCATAACAGGAGTGGTAGTGGGACGATCGTCAGGAGTTCCAGCTGTATCCCTGCAATCACTCGAGGCACCATCAACAATGTCGCTTCTTGATCCACACCATGTTAATTGTTCCCTCACGTTGGAATTAGTCTATTAGGTTTCTGTTTCAATTGTAATTCTTCATGGCTTGATAGCTAGGAAGATTTATTATATAACTGATCTTTTCTCGGACTTCAAGGGTAATTGTACTGTTTGCTCTCAGCTGTTGGCACTTGTATGTATATTGCGTGTACACAAGTAATCATATGTATCACTTTTTGTGTTTATCCATGGAATATCAGCTGGCGCGCAGGCCATAGATTTGGCACGCCGAGGGTAGTTCAATAATCCCTGACAAAGTACGTACTGATCTGAAAACTCTCGCAGAAATTCAACTTTCAATCTGTTATTAGAATTAACGAGAAACGAATATGCTTTATTAATCAAAAGTACGTACGATAAAATGTATGTACGAATTTGGCAGAACGAAAGAGTTGAACTCTCATGAACGCTAAAGCCAGTAGATAAATTAAACTAGGTTATTCAGACGAAGTTTGATCTGGGGACTTAATATCTTTTCAGAAAAGGAGAGAGAATACCAGTAAGAAAGTAAATGCCATATATCAAATAACTTGACCTGATGTATTAAGCATGAACAAATCTCAGCCACCCAATGTGCAGTTGCGCACAAGTTATTAGGCTAGCCTGAACAAAAAGGGTCTCAATGATTTAGAGATCACACTGATGCAGAAGCTGCACATGACGCACTGATGATGGGGCTCTTTTAATTTGTTGCTGCGCAGAGAAAGAAATAATAAATGTATGTGTATGTCAGTTGCTTGGTTGCGTCATAGTTTGATGAATGTGTTTTGTCGCGGAGCAACTCAGTGGGGAGGTACCAGCTGACTCTGCTTGTCTTTCTGCGCATGCACGCTCTAGCTAGGCACAGTAGCAGTCTCCCCAAAAGCAAATGGCCAAGAGTAGTGGTCTCGCATGCATATGCCACTTTTCAATACTGTGGATTCTATTTGAAGCTGATCTCAATAGCGAAATAGTCAGGTAAGGGCAGTTCTGAAGCTGTTTTGTGTTGATTCTAGTGAGCTATACATCACTGGGAAGTGATCAATTAGAGAGGGTGCAAGTCTCTGGGTTTAATTTACAAGCCATCATGCAGACAAACAGAACTAGCAGCGAAGTTGATTAAAGAAAGGCAAATATGGCTTCATCATGTCAAAATCAGGTGGTCCTGCGTCTATTGCATGGAGGCCGCAATAATTGTCAATGGTCAAGACTACCAGTGAGGTGGATTGGGCCCGAAGTTCACGTGCCACTACGCAAGTTTGACACGTCCTGGCTCTATAGAACAATATATAATAATAACAACGACCCCAGAAGTCTGGAGCATACAATGGTTAATTAGCTAATAATACACTTGTTAAATAAGTTTTATCATTAAGGTACACATATATAACAGAAAATGGGGACGCTCATATGCTGCATGTCATAGCTAGCTATTCTATTCTGCAGGGGGTACGGTGTAGAGATAAGATAAAGAGGCAGGCCAGTTGGCTACTGCTACACTAGTTGTTCTGTTCAGTCTATTATTAACGAATGTCGCCCCATAATACAATTGATAACAACGTTTTAACGTTAAGCTCAAGCATCGTTCCCGGGCCGGGCAACGGCCGACGACTGGATCTTTCCAAGCTTCAAAGTGTAATAAACAGTGACATAAGGTTACGAGGAAAATCAAGGCACGTGGAGAGTCAGCTCTGGTGAATTCCATTATTAATAACACATAAGTCGACAAAACTTAATTGGCTGCCATTTTTCTGACTTATATAAGATGCAAGACGCAATTAAATATTTCGGCACGATCTAAACAAAGCTAAGGGAGGCGTACTATAGACATCAAAATGTGTGCGTGCATGTGAAAGATCATAATGCACTACTTTAACTTTTGTTGATTCATTTTGCTGGGTCGATCATATATATATATATATATATATATATATATATATTGATTTGCATGTGGATCCTGGCCAGCCTAAAGTCCGACTATATGGAGAAGTGTTTTTGGATGGGTCTCATGTGCATAATTAACAGAGATATGGGACTATAATTCAGCACTTTTTTGGACGAACCTCTGGGGTTTCGACACCCATTTATATTAAAAGGACAAGGGCTTACGCCATGTGTGGTGCACAAGTCGGTTTATCTTCCCACTAATCCATCTCTGTGATTGGCGAGTTAGTCACCATCTCGGAAAACCCTTTATCCCACAATTATAGATTGTAGTGCTCCTTTAAAAAGACATATTTTATGAGGGTTAACTTCATCATATTCTCTTTGAAAGTGCATAAGACCTTTTATGCCAAATAATAGTGCTCAATCTGCCAAACAATATTAAAGATATAGCTAAGTGATTGAACGGACCGTTCATAAAGAACATGAAGCCCTACAAATATCAAAAGAGAGATTCAGACCCTTATTCAAGGGGAATTGGTCGGCTCCACGTCATGCAAACCTCAACGAATTTAAGGACGAAGCAATGTACTATTCTTTTTCGCAGAAGATAATATGTATATGCTGGCAAAACACATCACATTAATCAATATGCACAAGTCCAAAAACGAAAGCACTAATCCTAGTCTTGGACGGTAATGCACTTTACAGCATATTGGCATATATTCACTTTTCTATATTAGGAATCTGTGAAGTGGCCAAATGTATTTTATATTGAGTGAATGCTCACCCCAATACACAACACAACAAGAGTTCGATAAAAGCACACAAAAAACTTAATTATGGTAAGTAATGGGCGATACGCCAGACAGAGTACAATGGACAGTCATGATCAGAATTTCAGATGGTGGGTGCGTATATATGCACGCCAAAATCAAGTGATGATTAATTAAGCCAATTATATGATATATATTAGGAAAAATTAATCTCTAAGTCCTCCAACTTTTAACCCACTTGTAACTCAATCCCTCGACTATGACTCAGTGAAATTTAGTCCCTGAACTTTTGATTCGCTTATAACTCAATCCTTCATTTTTTTTGGCTTTTTATATTATTATCCTTATCATCTTTTATGTGTCAAACATTAATCCAAGTCAGCTTCACATGGCAAAATTTCTTCCACCTCAGCTCCAGTGTCTGCGACTGCGGCCTCCCCTGCGTCAGAGGATGTTCCCACCTCCGATCATCTCAAGCTTCAAAGACCCTCCCTAGCCCAGCTATCAGTAGCCGCAGACTCCATCCCAAACGCCCACATTGCATTGGAACTCGTCGTTGTTTCCATCAATCTATTTTTTTTCTGCCAAATGACTGGCTTCTCGACAGCCTCTACTATAATCAGAACCAACTATGCACGTACTCACAATTCTTCACAAAATAAAAAACATTAGACTAACCAAGAACCTAGCTTTTGATTTATATATGCATGTAGGTGATTACGGCTTTTGTGATTAGAAAGGTGATCCGGTCCATGGATAGTGAGTTTGAGGAGGATGACATTGTGCTTCATCCATATTTACCAGCAGCAAGAGTACTGTGTGGTGACCTCACACACGTTTAAAAAAAAAAATTACTGATCCCAACATTGGCATTTCATTGTCTGATTTCCTACGCTCCTTGGGTGGATTGGAAGTTGGAGGGAAGGAGAGAGGCGGGGGGAGAAAATGGGTACTGGGAGGAGAGAGACGGTCAGAGAGGTCCAAGGTGGCGTATAAGTTGGGTGAGTTTAGAGAAAAGGAGGGCAAGCGAGCTAGAGGCTGCAGAAGTGGAGCTGAATAGGGAGAACTTTTGCCACGTGGAGTTGACTTGGATTAATGTTTGGCACATAAAAATGATAAGGATAATAATATAAAAAGCAAAAAAAAAATGGAGGACTGAGTTATAAGCGAGTCAAAAGTTCAGGAACTGAGTTGCATCAAGTCATAGTTGAGGGACTGAGTTACAAATGGGTTAAAAGTTGAAGGACTAAAGATTAATTTTCCCTATATATTATTAATAATATCAATCAACGTGAGATTAGGAATATGCTAAACAGGTAAGGTTTCCATTATTGAAGGTAGCAAGTGGGAAATGAAGGAGAGACTGAAAGGGGAAAGAAACTGATGGAGCGGGGAAGAGGTAGCTAGGCGTGGCGGAGAGGAGTGGATAGATGAAGAACCCTAGAAAGGCACGCCTGAGGGTGAAAAAGACTACACACTGTATATTCCTTCGAGAAAGACAGGGTAGGTCCCCCAGTAGTGTTGAAAGCACAGAGGTGATGAAGAGGAAAGTGAGGGGTTAAATTAATAAAAGTGGATATATGTGCGCACGAGTACTAGTGTATGTAACGTAAAAGACTAGCGACTTTTTCTTTACATATTCTTCCCCGCTGTGCCCTCTCTTTTTCGTTTCTTTTACTGTCCAGCTGCCCCCACTGCTTCTGCTCATTCCCCTTCGCCTCTTTCGTAAACTTCTCCTCTGTATTTGTTATTTTCTACCCCTACACTTCTCTGTGTATTGCTCACTTTTATGAGAGCGAGCATCGACATGAGTATCTAGAGTCCAAACGAAAGCTGCTAAATTTTTTTCCTTTTGACTTTCAAATGAAGGAGAAAAGCTGATCCTGTTATTACTCATTCTTCTCTCTCTCTCTCTCTCTACACACACACACATATATGCTATACATACCCTCATGTTCATCTATGATATTAGGAGCCACCAGTTCATTTTCAAAACGTGATGTTTAATTAAATATATTGTTTGGGCTTCTCCCATGTACAAGTCACATGGTCCTGTAAATAAGTAGAACAAATTAAAGAAGGCATATACGTACATATATATATATATATATATATGATCTCCCCACCTTCATGTATAATATATTCGCCATTGACGTCGGGTTTTGGTCAAAAAACATATTCACCGTTGTGAAATGTGCAAACCCGACCTTCGAATATCTTTGTTTTCAACGGTTACAGAAAATTCGGAGTGTCAGTCAAAAGAGAATTTTGGTCATAATCCGACAAATCAGAGCCTTTTTCCAACATGTGTCCCTGTTACCCTTTCAACGTTCGTGTTCAAAGTTATATCTAAAAGAGGTCAAGGTGCAGTTTCGTAATTATGATCCAAACCAATGCCCCATTTACACTCTCCCCACCTTCCATCTATTTAAACTCGCATTCATCCCTCTCTCTCACATCCTTCCAATTCTCTTCAAATAGTGCTACTGTTGTTCTTCAACTTCTATATCATCTCTCTCTTCCATCCCTTCACTAGCCAACACACTAACTTGTCTCTCCAATTATGAATCTTAGGTTCGTATAATTTAACGGGCTGCTTTTTCTCTTTGGTCATGATTTAACTTTGATTTCTTTTTGGCTGAAGTCTCGAACCCGTTATAATTCGATTCTACAGAAATTATTTGGAAAGTTATTCATATGTTACTCATTTTATTCTCTTATTTCGCAGCTTAGGATCCGAGGAATTCTCATAGCAAGGCGAAGATACAACTGATAATTCGCAACGAGAAATCTAACTCTGGTAGCTTGACATGGCCAAAGGAGTTCGTCAAACCTTTCCAAAAAGCCTCACGTTCATGTGCCTCGTCATGCTTGTGTTCAATCTTCGCTGCTCACAGTCACATGGAGATCAACAAGAACAAGAACTTCAGCTTCTGCTATCCTTCAAAGCTTCCACCAAGGACCCACGTCTGTCTCTTTCGAACTGGCTCAATTCTTCAACCACCTTCTGTAACTGGTACGGCCTCACCTGCGACCACAGCTCTTCTCACCTTAACTCCATCCAACTCGCAGGTAAAAACATGTCCGGCACGATTTCCTCGTCCATATTTCAGCTCCCAAATGTTAATAATATTGACCTCTCCAGCAATAAGTTCGCTGGGGAAATTTCTTCCTCGTCGTTCCCTTCGTCTCCCTCGTCACTTCGTTACCTTAATCTCAGCAACAACAACCTAACGGGCTCGTTGCCTCAGTTTTTATTTTCTGTGTCGTTTTCCCGCCTGGAATCCTTGGATCTTTCAAACAACATGTTTTCCGGGATGATTCCACATCAGGTTGGTCTTCTTTCCAGTCTAAAATATCTTGATGTCGGAGGGAACGTTCTGGTGGGAGGAATTCCAAATTCCATCACCAACATCACAGGTTTAGAATACTTAACATTGGCTTCGAACCAGTTGGTGGGTGAAATCCCGCGTGACATAGGTGTAATGAAGAGCTTGAAGTGGATTTACATGGGTTACAACAATCTCTCCGGTGAAATCCCGAAGAGCATAGGGAACTTACTGTCTCTGCATCATCTCGACCTTGTTTACAACAATCTCACGGGATTCATTCCCGAGTCCCTTGGAAACCTCACCAATCTTGAGTTTCTGTTCCTCTACAGAAACAACCTCATGGGCCCGATCCCCCCTTCCATTTTCGACCTGAAAAAGCTTGTTTCGCTTGATCTCAGTGATAATTCTCTATGGGGAGAGATTTCTGAACTTGTGATTAATCTTCAGAGACTGGAGATCCTTCAGCTTTTCTCAAACAACTTTACCGGAAAGATTCCGAGGGCTTTGACAGCTTTACCTCGGCTTCAAGTTCTTCAACTGTGGTCCAACAGATTAACGGGCGAGATTCCAAAAGAGCTGGGAATGCATAGCAACCTCACTGTTTTAGACCTTTCCACCAACCACCTTTCCGGAGAGATCCCACATCGCTTATGTGACTCGAGCAATCTTTACAAGCTTATTCTTTTCTCCAACTCTCTTGAAGGACAAATCCCACACAGTTTGAGCGCTTGTACAAGCCTACGCCGAGTACGCCTCCAGAACAACAAGCTATCCGGCCAATTACCCCCGGAATTCACCAAACTGCCAGAGGTATACTTGTTAGACATGTCTGGCAATAAACTTTCCGGGAGGATTGATGATCGGAAGTGGGACATGCCGGCGCTTCAGTTGCTGAATTTGGCTAAAAACAATTTCTCTGGAGAGTTACCCACCTCTTTCGGGAGTAATGAACTGGAGAACCTGGACTTATCGGAGAACCAGTTTTCTGGTTATATTCCACCTGGTGTGGGAAACTTATCGGAGCTCGTGCAGTTGAAACTTAACAGAAACAAGCTGTCCGGTAACATCCCAAATGAACTTTGTTCGTGCAAGAAGCTTGTGTCTTTAGACCTCAGTCACAATCAGCTTAGCGGGCAAATACCGATTAGTCTGGGAGAGATGCCAGTTCTAGGGATGCTTGATCTGTCTGAAAACCAATTGTGGGGTGAAATTCCTGAAAATTTAGGAAGCGCCGAATCCCTCGTAGAACTCAACATATCCTACAACCATTTTCACGGGAGGTTACCGTCCACAGGAGCTTTCCTTGCCATCAATAGCAGTGGCGTCGCTGGGAACGACCTTTGTGATAGTGATATTGACAGTAGAAGCGGTTTGCCACCCTGCACCAAAAGAGATGATAATAAGAATCCAATTTGGTGGTTTTTTCTGTTTGGGCTTGTAGGGTTCCCGCTTGTTGCTTTTCTCATTGTCTTCATACGCAGAAGACAGAACTCGGAGATAACCACAAGGGCTGAAAATGAAGACGGCACATGGGAAATGCGCTACTTTGACTCCAAGGCTTCAAAACTCATCACCATCCACGACGTATTATCTTCTGCAAAAGAAGGAGTTATGATCCCTAAAGGACGAAAAGAGACAATCCAGTTCGAGGTGAAAGAGATGAGCGACCTGAATTGCTTTTCCGAAGACATTGGTAAGCTTCGGCATCCAAACATCGTGAAGTTGAAGGGAATATGCAGGTGTGGGAAAGGTGGTTACTTGGTGTATGAATACGTGGAGGGAAAATATTTAAGCGATGTCCTTGGGAGTTTAAGCTGGGAACGACGACGGAATATTGCACTTGGAATTGCAAAAGCACTGAAGTATTTGCATGCTCATGATTCGCCGTTTGCTTTGGTCGGTGAGATGTCACCGGAGAGAGTTCTGGTGGACGCAAAAGATGTTCCTCGTCTCATGTTGAGCCCTCTCAAGCCTTCCATTTCTTCACCATACGTTGCTCCTGGTAATGACGAATTCAATAACCTTTTTGCCCTTTTCAATTTTTATTTTTTCAGCGACTAATTAAGGGGTTATTAAAAAACTTTTCAGAATCGCGAAATGGGAAGGAGGTGACAGAGAAGAGTGACATATACGGAGTCGGGGTGATTCTGATAGAATTATTGACGGGAAGAAGTTCAGTGGACGAAGAAGCGGGCATGCAGCACGAGAGCATAGTGGAATGGGCCCGTTATTGTTATTCGGACTGTCATCTGGATACATGGGTCGACCCGATCATGAAGGGCGGGATTGCATCATCAGCTCAAAACGGCATCGTTGAGGTCCTGAACCTGGCCCTCCAGTGCACAGCCACCGACCCCACAGCTAGGCCGAGCGCAAGCCACGTGTTCAAAACCTTAAACGCTGTGACAGCTTCCCCATCGCCCTGTGTTTAACCTCCATCCTCACCCTTCACAAGAAATATATATTTTGTTTGTGATGTTACTCTTTGTTTTTTCCTTTTTTACTTGTTTTCGATGATGGATTTTAACCTTTCTTTTTTTTGGTTAGTTTGATGAAAGTTGTAGCTTCCCACAACTAAAATGTTGAGCAACCAAGGGATTGCTAGGAAGATGTTTTTCTTTTCTAAATTTGGGATTCAATGCTGAACTAGTGTAAATCATAATAACAATATAATATCATAATTATATTGTCTCTGTTTATTTTATTTAAAAGAATCTTACGCGTACATGTGAGTTTTTTTTTAAAAGAAAAATACTAAGCTTCTAAAAACGAAAAGGTATCCGGTATCAGGAGTAACAAAAAATAATAAAATTTCTTTCTTGATTTCTTTGTTTATTTAATTTCTCTCTGTCTTGCTTTGCACCATACAAGTGTTAGGTAGAAGTTTGTGAATAGTAATTGAATATATAGCAGCAGCGAGTAATTGGAACTGCACAAGTTCCACATTCTAAGTATCTTACCAATATATATACCCCAATTGATGGGCGAACATGCAGGGCGTGCGCAGACACACAAATTATTGAAGAGCTGGGATATCCTCCTACTCTTCTAGTCCTTAATATAGGACCCATTTAACTAATTTGATTAAATCGAGGAAGTTAGGTAAGTTAGTTAATTATAAGAAATGTGACACGTTTTTCCTAAAATACCATAATCATCTTTCTTAATACCATATCTTCCTTTTCTACTTGATTATGGTTGAGGGAGTATCCATAGGAGTAATTTAGGAAAAACTGATAAATATAAAAAATGGGTCTTATATTTAGGATCAAAACCAACTCAACAATTGGATCCTATATTAAAAACCGGAGGAGTATTATATAACTACACGGCGACATATTTTCCTTTTCTGTGTTGAATGAGGGGGGGAAAAAACTGGAATAGAAACCTTTTAGCGAGGTTATAATTATATATATTAGGATTGATCATTGATGCAGTAGTGATTATAAATATATTCTCATTGTCGCTTTCCTGTTGTCATGATGATGATGATGCAATAAAGTTTGAAAATTTCATGATAACTGCACATTCTTCACACATCACTAAACGACATGGCTCTCTGTAATTTCCTCAACTTAACTTGTTATACCCCCTACAAGCTAAGCATATATGGATTCATTACATTATTCTCACCACGTTTCTTGATTTTCTTCCTTAGAGTACACTATCTGATGAAAAACCTAGCTAGCTAGAATCGGGTTCAAACCAAAGCGATTAATCTTTATATCTTCGATCTGCGTGTTAGTGTATGATGAAGCAGAAAATATATATGAAGTCCACCGGCATGGGGTAAAGTAGGAGTGCATATATATATATATATATAGAGGGTATCTTTCCACCCATACAGGCTGACCACAAACTCACTTTCTTGTGACCCACCTTCTTTGTATGCTTTAATGATCCATACTGCTCATCTTCTCTCTCTCTCTCTCTGCGAGAAACAAATAATTTTCCATATTTCATGGGCTGAGTAATGATGGCCTTGCAAGGATCCTCGATCTGTTCCGGTTAGAAGATTCCATCAATGAGAATGAGTTTAAGTGTAAAGATATAAAAACTGTGGCTGAGACGTTGCTGGGAGGAAAGGACTAGCTGCGTATGGCTGGCACAGATATGATTTCTTCGCAGTGCTTTCTTTCTTTTCAAAAGCTCCCCCGAGATATCAATGATAACCCTCGGAGACCATGCAAAAAGCTTCTTTGGCTTCATCCTTTCGACTCAGAAAAAGCCCCTTTTCTTCTGAATATTTTTCTGTTAAAGTCTCCCCTCTCTGGTTTACTTTGGCTGTAGCAAGAGTTACGTTTGAGAAACGATGATGCCCATATGTCTTCCCATCTTCCTAGCTAGTTGCCTTTTTAGTTTACTTTGAGGATTGATTTACATATATATATATATATATATATATATATGTGCTTGTATCAATCAAACAATAGAAGACAGCTAGCCGGGAGGTTATTAGTAATTTAGAATGTCAATGCATAATCAGAATGAATAATGATAATGATTGGGACACGTGCAAAGTGGAAAACCAGCATCGGATATTGCAGGAAGCTGGCACATTTTCCCACAAGAGAATTCAAAGGGAAGGGGGTGAAGTTGGTAAATGAACAGGACGAGGAGTTTGTGAATTTGACTTTTGTGGTGCATGGAACAGCACTGGTGCTCAGCCAATGATTGCGCTTTTGACTTCATCACATGGTTATGCCAATCTGCTGTCTTTCAATTTGGTTACTCGAAGAATTTAAGATCTTGTCATCCTCTTTAAACGCTTCTTAAAAGTCGCTTTTTATTTGTTTTCTCTTCGGTTCTTCTTGATTTCCCACGTCAATCATACTATGCAAAAGATTATTTTCTTCTTTGTTTTTTTTACTGCCAATATTATTTTCCTACCAAGTAACAGCAATAAATACTAATAATTAGCTAGCGTTGTCGAAAAACTAAACATTACTTCTTCCGTTTCTAAGCATAAAATTCTTTTGACCAATCCGTAAGATCCCAAAAAAAAAAAGCTAAGATGATTATTTGCGATTAATTGGAGAAAATTTGTGATGATTTTTCGAAAATACCCTACCTTTTAATGATTAAAAATTAATTCATAAAAATTAAAAAAAACCCATAACTAAGAATATATTATGAAAAAACACTCAATGTAAGGGATAATAATAGAGAATTGAGCCTTAGGATCAAGCCAGAACTCTTAAATGGACATTATATTTTAGATGGGGAGTAATACTCTTCTCAGCTCAATTACAACCCTATTATTATGACCGGTCTTGTTATACTACCATTATAAGATCTGCTATTCCACATACATTGACAAAGAGACTTGATTGCATATCTATTTTTTAATTCCAATAGTGGGTTAATTTTAATTAATTTTCTACGTTTATTTTTTTAATTAAAATTAATTATACATGTCATCAAAGGGATTTTCTGAGACAGACTTTACTCTCTAACTCGTAATGTCTAAAATAGTAGTGTCCTTCCTGGATTTATATTGTAGAATGAACAAGGTTTTCGAATTGAATTAGATTAGATTTTCATTCTTCCACTCGCATGAATAATTTCTGAGAAGTCTCGTGAGTACTACATGTTCTGAAAATAGTTCACCCACACCTGTAGAGCTAGTAAAGTGGGCTGTCGGTACCGATACGGGCTAGCCCATCACTGTGCGAGTAAATAATGATGCGGGCTGAAGTAATCTGCACCTTTTGCCAGCCTGAGCCTATCAGCCCGCCTAATTTTTTTTAAGGAAAAAACTATTATTATTAATACGAGTTGGACTTAGTTTGAAATGTCAAAATTAGATTTAGAGTCTTGAACTTGAGTAGCAGGTTGTAATAAAATAAATTGAGAATTAATTTATAATTTAAGAAGATATTCAAGAAAAACTAGCACATTTTTTTTATAAATAATTAATTTAATTAACTTTCTTATTCAAATTAGTTAAGTAGATCTCTTACATGTATGTGTATATATATAAGCATCATATATTTATTTAATCTTATAAAGATATGCATAGTAACGATAAATAGATGAAAAATAAAAGATAGATGATGATGTTCTCTATAGTCTATATATAATTATACACATATATAAAGTGTTTAATTATATATGCAATGATATAAATGAGGTAATGGTGAAATTTGAAGGTCAAAATCCTCCAACTATGTTATATAATATAATGAAAATTTCATAAAAAATTTATTAAAAAAAAAGAAAGAAAGCGAGCTAGCTTGTGACGGAACGAACAAAAAACGATACAGGTTGGCATGCCAGCCTTTTTTGGCCGGTTGGACCCACGGGCTGAGTTTGTTTTACCAGCTCTACACACCTCATAGTGGGTTAACAAATATGTTTTTAATTAGATTCACCTAGTGAAAAATGAATCTTTTATAAAATATAAGATTAAATATGTTTTTAAAAAAATATGTTTATAAAAAAAATAACAAGATACATATTCTATAGGCTCTCACACTCTCCCTTTTTTCTCCAAAAGCAAAAAAATTTTACTTTTTCCAAAACCACGATTTGTGCAAATTAGGTGGGTGTTTGGGTGACTTATCACCCAAACCATGGTTTGGGGTGTCACCCAAACGGTGCCCTAGTGAAAAATGAATCTTTTTGTCTTGCACTGACTATAATATTGTTATTTAATTAATTTAGACAATAAAAATTACTTCTTCTGATATTAAATATAAAATCTATTTCTAGTCCTAAATATAAGATACATTACCGGAAGAATATTAAACATGTTCTTATTATCGCAGAGAACAATTAATGGAATCTTGAAAATTTTGGAAATCTGAAGCAAAAGCTGACAAAGATTCCTTCGTAGGAAAATGACGAGTCCGAAGCAAAGGGATGAATCATATTAATCATTAAGATTCGTTCCTTACGTCATTCGGCCTGGTTGCCCACTCTCGGATTCATTTCAACTGTCTAAAGTGGCCACGCACGTCTCATCGTATGATTCCCTGCTAAACGGTGATTCAACATAGATTCTACATGTTGGAACCAAGCCAATTTTGGAGCAGAGTCTGCGATCCAAAGACTTCGAATTGGATTAGTACGAAGCAAAACGGGCCTCTCATCCACTGGGTTCTTCGACAATGTAAGAGGGAAGGATAGAGAACAATACACGAAGACCCAAGAGGCGTAATATATATAGGAACTGACAGCCAAAAAATCGGAGCATGCAAGGGCTTCATGCCCACATTAAGTAAGACAGTCTTATATGCGACATTCTAGACATTCTTCCAAGTTCAAATAAGAGGACGATACTACCCTGCTCTAGCCTCTACTTCCTTAGACTATGTACTTTTCTCTAAGGTATCAGACAAAAGACCAATTGATGAACATGAAACATATGCATTGCGCCATTTCTTCTTCGTTCGACACTTTCCATGCCACTGCTCTCTCATAGGACACTGGCCTCCCCATGCTGGATAAGCAGATGCCTCCTTGCATGCACATAAAGCCCTGCATCATCATAGCAATATGCCTCTTTAGAATCTGAAAGCACCAACATCTGATGTCCATTTATCTCCCAAATAGATAACTATGGTCCCAGCAGACGCAGTAATAACATGGTATCTAAATGTTATAGTAAAAGGAACACGAGTTATAGATGTTTGTGGAAGCATGTGATACCCACACTTCGTACGCTTTGCTTTATCAGAACCAGTCAGACATTGGCTTTCA